GGAGCTCCTCCGCCAGAGACAGAGACGAGATGACAGAGACGCGCCCCCTGCACTGTGGGCCACACCAGGGGTGCAGGCAGCCCAAGCACACCTCCAGGGGAGGAGATGGGAGTTTCCCAGGTCCCAGCTCTCCCACACAGACATGGGGATGACACAGCCCCGGCTCCTGGCGGCCGTGGTTCTGGTCTGGGGCCTGGAAGGCACAGGGACCTGCTGGCGTCTCAGGAAGTTGAGGCCCCTGTGGGCAGGTCGGCCGCAGCGGGCAGCCGACGGGGAGAGCTGCTCCCCTTATCCCCTCAGAGCCGAAGCCAGGCTCTCCGGGAGCGCTCCGACCCAGGATCGCCTGTCCTGGGCCCTGCCCAGGACACACGTGGGTTGGAAGCTGAGCCGGCTCTGCTCTGCGGGACGGTTGGCAGGACCCAGGGAGGGGGGAATGAGAGAGGGGGGTTCGGGCTGCCCAGCTGCCTCCAGCTGCCCAGACCGTCCTTGGTGCTGGCAGCCAGGAGAGCATCCCGGGCCTGTGGCACGAGGGCCCGGAACTGGCAGCCTGATACCACAGGACCTCTCCAGAGGCCACAAGTCCAAGCCGAGGGTACGGGAGGGGCGGGGCTCCCTCGGAAGGCCCCGGGAGGGTCTTCCCGGCCCCCTCGGGCTTTCTGGGCTCGCGGCTGCAGGGCTCCGGCCAGCCTCTGTGTTTTCGTGGCTGTGTGTGCAAGCTCCCCTCTTCTTGCCAGGACGCCAGTCCGACTGGCTCGCGGGCCCACCCTAACCCAGGGCTGCCTCATCTTAACCAGATTCCATCTACAAAAATCTGGCTTCCTGACTGGGTCGCGCTCACAGGTTCCCAGCAGACACGGAATTTCGTTCAACGCTGTTTAACCCCCAATATCCCCAAAGCTTGGTCTCTGCTTGACTTTCACTCCCCCCACCCCGGGTCACCCTCAGGACTGGCTGGCTACTTCAATCTGGGTCCCTCTGCGTTGGTCCCCTGAGGTTCTGAGGATGCTCTGGGTGCAGAGTGTGGGCTCCCCATCCTGGGAAGGCACACCGCACCCCCAGCCTCCAGTTCCCACTCGTGGGGCAGGAAAACCAAGGAGCACCCACCACGCGGAGGGAGGCCTCGTGGAGGAGCTTTGGCTGGGCCAGGAGGGCTTCTCGGTGGAGGGGACACCAGAGCAGAGCCCCAGGGCCAGCAGGATCTACCGCCTGCAGGCCACAGTGAGGGCAGAAGCCTGAGCTGCAGACTTCGACCAGGACAGAGAAAGGACCAGGGGGGCTGGGCAGAGGGCAACAGCGGAGAAGGGTGTGGATGCTGGGGCAGACGGGGACCTCGCGGCCATCTCTGAGAGGACCGCTGGGAGAGGGGGGCTTCGGGAGAGAGGCGGTGGCCGGGACGGGGCATGGAGACAGGGCCGCCATCCCTCCCGGGCCAACTCCCCAGCTGTTCCTTGGCTGTGGGGCTCTTGGGGTGGCAGCTGGAGGCTGTGCCGGCCCAGGGCTTGAGCCCAGTGAGCTCTGGTGGGGCTCGGCCGCGGATGCCCATGCCCCGTGGCGAGGCCATGCCGTGAGGAAGCTGCGAGCCTCTGGTTCCTGAACCGGTGAGTGGGCCCCACACCCCCACCCTACTGCCCCATGGGTCCTGCCACATTTCCCAGGCAACCGTTTCCATCCCGCCTGTCTGCCTGGCCCTCCGCACCCCCGCGAATGCTGTGGCCTGGCACAGCCCGGCTGGCAGTTGTGGCCCAGTGTCGCCCGCCAGCTAGACTCGTCCAAAGGCCTGACTCTGGGGAGGAGGCAGCCCAATGTTTGAGGCTGTCCTCACCTGGTGAGCAGGCGCTGCTGGGCCGCCCTGAGGGCCACAGGGCCCAGGCGGTGGCAGCCCCGCCCCCCGCCGTGAGCACACACAGCGCCTGCGGCCAGTGTCACCTAGAAGTTGGACGGCCACCCTGCTTTCCAGGGCTTCCCAGGTGACGCCTGCCAGCGTCAGTCCCCGTCTGTCCATCCTCGCCATCTTGACCCCATCTGTACCGTGGCCTGATGGCTGACCCAGGACCCCCAATACCAAGGAGGGTGCAGAGAAGCTAAATGGGGCTCAGGCCACTGCAGCTGGCTCCAGGCCAGGATCAGGCTAATGGCTCTGCCTGGCTCAAGCCCTGCTGGGAAGCGGAGGCGGCCGGGGGGCACCTGCTGGGCTCCTGGGGCTAGCACTGGCCAAAGGAGCAAGCACCCCGTTCCCGCCTTGGCTCTGAGAGCACTGGGAGCCGAGACATTTGCTCCTTGGGTGGAAGGTGCTGGGCTGGGACAGGCCCCTGACCAGCTGGCCGCACACGTCCAGTCCTGGGACAGGCACCTGGGCGGGGAGGGGGTCTAGGTCATCACCCACAGATTCCTCCTGTCCCTGTGGACAAAGCCGGGGGAGCGGAGAGTGGGCTGCCCGGGGCTGCAGGGCGGGCATCCCCACCCTGGCCCCTGGATCACCTGCTGCTCTGCCCCATGGGGCCTGGCTGAAATGGTCGTTGCAAACAGGAATTTGGGCTCAGCCGCGGTCCCCATCCGAAGTTAATCTCCAGGGAAGCCCCACTCAGCACCTGTCCCGGTGGCAGGCTCAGCCATTCCAGCCCGCTCAACTGGTCAGCCTCCAGCGTCTTGCCGGTGGCGCGGAGACAGCTGCTGCCAGGTGGGTCTGCCCTTTCATCCACACTCTGCTCTGCTCCAGAAGGCCCCAGGGCGGCAGGGGCGGCGAGCGCTGGGGTGGGGGGTGGCACAGGCGGGACTTCCTGACGGCCCCCCGCAGCTCCGCGCTCCGTGGAAGCACCCCAGGCCCTGGGTCCGGCCCTAACAGGGGAGCTAATCCCCAGCAGCTGGATGAAACCAGAGAGGAGAAGCCCCCCAGGGGGATAGCTTGTACGCAGGGCTCTGGCGCGGCTGCCCCCAGAAGACCAGGCCCTGAGGGCCTCTGTTCTGCCAGCGAGTGCAGGCCTGGCCTGGGGGTCCCAGCTTCGCCCTTGGCCATCCAGGGCAAACGAGGACCCCCAGGCTGGCTCAGGGCAAGGAGCAGCCCCCCCCCCCCCGCCACCTCTGTGCCATAGGCGGCAGCCAGGCTCCTTCAGGCCCAGGCCCTCGTCTGTGGCCCGTCTGGGACCCCTCCATGCCAATGCCTTGCTCTGCCCTTCTCAGTCGGGTAGTGGGGCCGTGTGAGGCCTGTAGAGAAGGGGACGGGAAGGGGCAGGAGTGGCGGGGATTCTGAAGACCCCAGTGTCCATCTCCAGGAGCCCCCGTTCAGGAGCAGTAGCTACTCGCACCAAGTCCCCACGCGCCTTCCCAGCATGGCCGGGGAGCGGAGGGCCCACTGACTCTCTGAGGCCCGGCTCTGCCTTCCTCCCTCTGAGTGTCCCCGTGGGCACCCGGCTAAGGCTTTGAAGCTGCGGAAGCCGTAGCCAGGCCACAGGCCCATGTCTGGGAGCCGCTGACACAAGCTGTTTGGTGGTCCTGGGTCTGCCGGACACCCGCACCGAGCCCCACCCGGGAGCCCTCACATCTGGGGCACCCTTTCCTGGGAGCAGGCCCGGCTGCAGGCCACCTCTTTCGGGGGCTCCTGGGACCACCCTGCGTGGTGACTCGCTCGTTTACGCACGTGGGGCCTGTTTCCGGTTGGCCAGGACCAAGGTCTCCGTCCCCTGGAGGCCTCCGGAATCTAGAACAATCCTTGACGTAGGGAGATATTCAGGGAGTGTTTGGTGAACGAGCCCGTCCCCATTGTGGAGGTCTGCACTGGCCACTGGATGCAGGGTGACCTCAGCACCACGGAGAACAATGCTGACTCAGGGATGGGGGGCCCTTGGACTGGAGTGTGCAGTGAGGGGGTGCCCAAGGCCTGGGACTGGAGGAGGGCAGGACGGTGGCTTGCGGAGGGGCGAAGGTGAGGAGGTTGGATCAGTGCTGTGGGAGCCCCTGAGGAAGAGGGTGCAGAGCCCCAAAGCTGCTGGGATTGGGGAGACCCGAGGGGTCCCAGCACCGCCAGTGACATCTGCTTGTCTATGGAGGGGAGTCCCTGCCACCCAGCCCCCTGCACACGGCAGCCCTGGTGAGGGTGGGGGTCACCCTGGGGCCCACCCGGCAGGGCTCTGCAGGAGCAGAAGCGGCCGAGAGTGCCTGGGCATCTGCTGCCACCAAGTGGTGGATCGAGTGGTGGCTGGACCGAGCACCTGGGCCCCGAGTCTCAGGGAATCCCCTCCCAGGCCCTGAACCCGGAGGACCCCCGCCATTCGGCCCCTGGCCCAGGACGCCGGCCTTGGCGGGCCACACGGAACTCGGTGCCTCTCTTCTCCTTTTCTTAACTGCGAGAACCAAGTTCCTCCCGTTAGAGGGAAACACAACGGTCCTGAGATGGACAGGCCGAGCCCCCTTGGACGGAGCGGGAAACCGAAGCCGGGAGCTGAGCGGTGCCGCGGAGACGGCGGAGCCGCGGGGCAGGTGGGCTCCAGCTGAGGGGAGCTGCCCGGGCAGAAGGGGAAGGGGTCCCGCGACCCGACTCACGCCCAGCTCCTCCTCCCAAGACTCTGCGGACCCCAAGCCTCCAGACCACAGCAGGAGATGGGTCCCCCCCGACCCGCAAGTCTGTCTCAGCTGGAAGTCAGCCCCCGGGGCCGCCCGGCCTTCCCCACCTCAGTCCCACCTCCGGTGCAGGAAGGAACGGCGGCCTCCGTCCCCTCCAAGGTGGAGGTCAGGACTCCTTCTCCTCCGACAGCGTCCCAAAGGGGAGGCCGCCTCGGGGCCCGAGGAGCGGGCTGCGCGGTGGGGTGGCGGTCCAGGGGCGGTGTCCAGCGCTGACACGGGAGGGGGCGGGGCGCGCGGGGAGGGGGCGGGTCCAGGTCCGCGGCGTACTTCAGACGGGAGGTCGGCGCGGGGGGCGGGGTCCCCGTCGGGGGGCGGGGCGGGGGGGGGAAGGCTTGCGGGGGCGGGGTCCGCTGCGGGTCTCTCACTTCCGCCGGACGCGCGGCTAGGGGCGGATGGAGGCGGCGCGGAGGCCGCGGCCCGGGCTACGCCGCCGGAGGCCGTCCCCGGGGGCCGGGTGAGGCCGGAGCCGGGGGGGAGAGAGGGATGGGGTGGGGCTGGCCGGGGATGGGAGAGGAGGCCCGCGTCCCCCGGCCGCTCTGGGGCCCAGGGTCGCGCACCCACGTGTTTCCCGGAACCCCACTCGGTTCCGCGCCCGCCCGCCCCCTCGGGGTTGTCCCCCCCAACCCCTCTTCCCCGCCGGGCCCCCGCTGACTGCTCCCCGCACCCCCAGCGGCCGCGGGGGGCCCCTCCCGGGGGACGGCGGCGAGTGCGCGCGGCCGTGGGCGGAGCTGCTGCGCGCCGCGAGCGCGGATCTGAGCCCCGACGGAGAGCTGCCGCCGCTGCCCGCCTTCCCCGGCCCGGTGCGTGGCGGGGGCCTCTGGGCGGCCGGGCGTGGAAGGGGGCGGGGCCCTGGCCGGGGAGGCGCCGGTGACGCGGCCCGACGACCCGGTTCGGCAGGAGCCCGGCGGCGGCCCGGAGCGCAGCGCGCCCCCCGAGGTGTTCACCGTGGGAGCCCGCACCTTTTCCTGGACGCCGTTCCCGCCGGCCCCGAGGGGAGGCGGGGGCCCAGAACGATCCTACCGCGTGCTCCTTGGGGCCCGGGGACGCTCGGGGTCCCCGGCCCGGTCCCCGCAGCGACGCCCTGCGCCGGAGCCCCGCGGGACCCCTGGCGCCCGGGAGCAGCTGTGGGAGGCCGCGCCGACCCTGCGGAGCTGCCCCATGTGCCAGGCCAACTTCGCCCCCGGGTGAGTGCGCCCGGACCTCGGTTCCCTCCTCTGACCGCAGCCCCGCAGCCACTGACCCCGTTCGCCACACGGCGCGGGTGTACGGGTCTGCCGGTCCCCCTCTCGCACGTCCCTTGGAGCCCCGGGGCCAGGCTGCAGTCTCCCCAGAGCCGACTCTGCAGCAGGGGTGCAGGGAGCCCCACCTCTGAGTCTCAGGGACCCTGGTGGTGGCGGCCATCCCCAGGCTGAGGCCGCCTCCAGGGCCCCTCTGGGGCTTCAGGTCACCAAGCAGTTTCCTGTGTAAAGCGTCCCACCTGAATTTTCATAGGGGATGGGTTTTAAAAATGAGGACTTTGTGTGTCTGGAGATGCTGTTTTACGTCAAGAACTCATTGTATGTCTTTATATTCTTTTTTTTTAAAAAGATGTATTTATTTTACAGAGAGAGGGAGTGCACACGATTGGGGAGGGGGCAGAGGGAGAGGGACCAGACAGGCTCCCTGCTGAGCGTGGAGCCCGAGCATGACCTGAGCCAAAGCCAAGAGTCAGGCTCTTGACTGGCTGAGCGGCCCAGGAGTCCCTCTTCGTATCTTTTTTTAAGCGAGGGGAGCGGAGTCAGTGTTGCTGAGCTGTTAAACCCAGAGTGCCCAGCTCGTGGGCTACGTGTCACACAGCTAGGGACGCCGGTGTGGGGGTCACGGGTGCGGGTATAGCGAGCGGACGGCAGTTTTCGGTAAGTGGGCCAGTTGCAAATGTCCTGTGGCTGGGAGGTGGCGTGCAGGTCACAGGCCGCCTCCCTGGTTGTCCGGAAGCAAACACCATCCCGGACGAGGAGGGCGACCCAGCTGATGGCACAGCAGACACCGTCAAAGCCGGGGCTTGGGTAAGCGCACAACGTGCTCGCACAGGTCTTTAGGTGCTGCTTTTACCGGAGACGCGTCCAGTTCTGGTTGCGTGTCGGCTTCTCCAGCTGCACTGCTGTTACCGGAGCCGGCTTTGAAAGCCCGGTGTTGGGGTGAGCCCAGTACCCCCGTGCTTTTCTCCTTGTGCCCCACAGCCCAGGGTTGGGGAGGCGGGAGGGGCTGGTTTGGGCGAGACGGTGGCTGTCCTGGACGGGGACAGCGTGTGGGTGAAGCCCCAGCAGGCGGAGCCACAGGCCGGGCCTGGAGGACATGGCTCAGTGGCCCACGGGAGCACCAGGATATTTGCAAAACGTTTCCAGACCCAGCGCCTCCCTGCACCGCCCCCTGCGCGTACTCGTGTTTTGGGATGGGTGTGAATTGCGAGTCCCGCTGGCCAGTTCTGAGAATGCCGAGAACACTCTTTAAAAGTAGTGGCCTTTCTGCTTCACCGCTAGTCCACGAATCCCGGGGCCAGAGGATGCCACAGCAGGCTCTAGAGGGAAATTTGTTTTCTTGGCAGAAGCTCTCAGGGTGCCCCCTTTTCCTCCTCTTCTGGATGGGGCTTGTGCTGGGAATGCGGCATTTCTGCCCAGTGCAAAAAAAGACTCCCGACGACAGAGACATCAGAGAGAAAAAAGTTCCCGTTTTGAGTTTTATAAGCAGTTCAGTTAAGGCTTGGCAGACTGCCTCATTGTTTTCCGAAGTAGGTGTTGGTGCCGTGGGGTCCAGGCTGCGGCGTGTCTGGATCCACACGTAGCACATTCTTCCGTGTGGCTGCACGGGATTGGGTGCTGGGGCCACACACCCCTCAGGTCCTTGCCGTGACTGGGGAGACTGGGGGGACACGGGTCATTGCAAACAAAGGTGTGGCCCTTGGTGGGATGCTCGGGACCCTGGGGCAAGGAGACTGCCTGGGCTCCGGGCAGGTCTCACGTAGCAGGTGCGCAGGGTAACTAAGCTGTCCTACCAGCTTGTGACTTTCCCTAGAAAAGCGTCAGCTTTTAGTGATTCTTAGGACTTTTTTGATATATATTATCCTTTATTTTAAAAATTTTATTTTTAAAATATTTATTTACTAGAGACAACAAGAGAGGGAACACAGCAGGGGGAGTGGGAGAGGGAGAAGCAGGATCCCCACTGAGTGGAGAGCCTAACTTGGGGCTCAGTCCCAGGACCCTGGGATCATGACCTGACCCGAAGGTAGATGCTTAAACTAAGCGTCCCTCAAAAAATGTTTTTGAGTAAACTCTACACCCAAGCTGGGCCCTGAACTCATGACCCCGGGGTCCAGAGTCACATGCTCTATGACTGAGCCAGCCGGGCGCCCCACATGAGACACATGCGAGCCAGAGACTGAAGCCGTGCTCAGCCCTTCTGACGGGCCGCGGGGGCGACTGGTGACCTGATGGCTTCTGGTGGCATGTGTGCTTTGGGGACACGGTGCTGTGGGACGCGCCCACCGTTATCCTCAAGGCAGTGTTTTCAGGTCACTCAGAGGTCGGTTTTAGTCCGCGATGTGGCGGGCGGTTACGCAGTGGGCGCGCCGGGGGTGAGGCCCCGCGCCCTGGAGAGCCACTTGCTGCTGCGGTCGTGGCTTCTGTGGCCTCCCTGATGCCTGCAAGCCACCGGGGCGGTTGGGGAGACAGACCCCCACGGGCCACTTGACGTGGGGCTGGGGAAGCCGGAAGCTGAGTCTCGTCCCATGTGTGCGAGGAGAGCCTGGCGTCGTACCGGCACCGAGCCCCCGCGGGCCGCCGTCCGGTCCCGTCGGGAGAGGCTCTCGGGCCGGTCTCCCGTGTCCGCACACCGGGCTTCCGTGCGACGGTGAGGCGGCCGTCTCAGGGCAAGCTGGGGTGGGAGGCTGCCGAGACCAAGTTCTCTTAGTAGGGGAGGTCTGGGGGGTCCCAGAGGGCAACCCCCCACCGCGGGGTGCCATCTGGAAACTGCAGACGAGATGACCTGTTCACCCCTTAGACTCTTAGGGCAGCCTTGAGGGGGCACGCAGCGGCCAGCTACTTGGGAGCATGGGGACCAACCTTAGATTCTGAAAGGGCAGCTCGTGGCCACCGGAAGGGGCACAGGCGCCCAGAGCAGCGGGGGAAGAGGCGGTGGTGTGGCCCACGCTGTCTGCAGTGATGCTCCAGGGACAGGCCCTTCCACTCTGGCCAGTGAGCGTGGCCAGCTGACCAGGATGGCTCTAGACGGGCAGAGGAAAGGTCATGTCTGCGGGTAGGGAGACGCCGACTGGGCAGACCACCTGTGAGGTCACGGCACGGAGGCGTCCCAGAGGGTCCCATGGGACCCACAGCAGCAGAGGGGGGTCTGCTCTCCAGCTGCAGAGACCCAGGGTGCCCACCTGGGAAGAGCCGCGGGGGCAGGACTGGTGTCCGCTCCGTAGGGTGCAGATGGGGCCCCGGCCACCATGACACGTGCTCGGTCTGGGGCAGAGGCTGTGGGGGACGTTTAAGTCCCAGTGCGAGGTGGGTCATCATCCACGCTGCCGAACCTGGGGAGGTACAGGGAGGCTGGGTCCGTCGGGAGCGTCGGGGTAGCAGGAGGCCAAGGGGCTGAGGGCAGGCCAGCTGCTGGGTGGACACAAGGAGCATTGCTGGTCACCGCCGGTGGGCTCGGCCTCTCTGTGGAGGGTGTCCCCCAGCAGTCCTGCTGAGCACCCCAGCTCTGCCACTCGGCACGGACAAAAGCTGCCCATCCACGGTTCTCAAGCACACCGGAGACAGTCCTGCCTGGCCCGCCCTCCTCGATGGGGTCAGATGAGACCAGGGCTGGAAAGTGCTCTGTGCCACGAATCTAGACCCTGCCCCACACCCCACTGGACACCGAGAGGCCTCAGTGCCCCCGGAGTTGTAGGATGGCAGCTCAGGTTCACTGAACCCCATCTCTGAGGGGGCTTGGTCTCCCCGCGTCAAGAAAACCAATCTCAGGCCTGAGCTGCATGCCCCCCTTCCCCCCACTTCTTGTCCCTACCTCTCGGGATGGACCCTGGTCATGTTCCTGGGGCCCCAGTCTTTGTGCTTTTCCTTTTTGGGGTGCCAAGTGGGGTGGGTTTTATAGGTGAGGACGTGACCCTCTTACAGAGCCCCAGCCGTGGGCAGGTTGGGGACTGAGAAAGGGCCACCCTCGACCGTGAGGCCTGGTCAGGGAGCCACCAGGTGGGCTTTCGGGCTCCAGGACAAGCAGCTTGCTGGGAGCCGTGAGGTTATCAAGCCGAGTGGGCTCCCGAAGGCCCCAGGAGGCCCAAGCAGACACAAGGCACCCTTCCCCCCCAGCCTCAGACGTGGGCACCTGGGTGAGCCTTGAGAACGTGTCCCCTAATGGAGACATTTGACCTGTTCTGGATCGCGTGGCCGCCCCTGGACCTCCCCCGTCCCCCGTTTCTGACTGGCTTTGGAGACTGTCATGGGGTTCTCTCCGGCTGGCCTTTGGTGTGGTGGTTACACCAGGGGAGGGCAGGAGCCCCTGGCGGGTGCCCTGGTGAGGCGGCGTGTGGCCAGCCGTTTCCTGCCTGTGGATGACTGACTCCTCCCTCTCGCAGTCTGGACGTCGATCGCCACCTTGCTCAGTGCTTGGCGGAAAGCGCAGAAGACGTGGTGTGGTGAGCCGACGTGCCCGCCAGCCCAGCCCGTGCAGAGGCCCAGGCCCTCGGCCAGAACCATGTCCTCCGCCTTGAAAGCCGCGTATTAAAAGTGTGGACTCGGGGCGCCTGGGGGGCTCAGTGGGTTGAGCCTCTGCCTTCAGCTCAGGTCATGGTCTCAGGGTCCTGGGATCGAGTCCCGCATCGGGCTCTCTGGTCCGCGGGGAGCCTGCTTCCTCCTCTCTCTCTGCCTGCCTCTCTGCCTACTTGTGATCTCTCTCTCTCTCTGTCAAATAAATAAATAAAATCTTTAAAAAAATATAAAGTGTAAAAAAATAAAAAAAATATAAAATGTGGACTCCTGGAGTGTGTGTGTGTCGGGACTGACACACGGGCTCCTTTCTGTTTCTGGCCTCGCCAAGCAGTGTGCTCTTCTGCCGTCAGAAGCGGACAGAGGTGCGTGGCGGAGGGACCCCAGCCCCGGGGGGAGGAGCCCAGTCTGCTGAGCGGAACAGGCCACCCCTGCGGACAGCTGGACGGCGGGGTCGCACGTCCTCCCGCCTCCGCACACCCCACTCGCCTGCGCTTCGCCTCCCCGGATGAACCGCTCGTTCCACGGTGCTGGCCGCCTGGGCCCAAGACCCCTCACCGCTGGGCAGGCGGGGACTTAGGGGAGGGTCCAGGCCAGCATGCCGGAACATTACGCACCGGCCAGGGGGTGGTTGTGCTTCCAGGGCAAGTGGAAGATGGGGCACGAGAGCGTCTGGAGGTAATTTTCCTCCCCGTGCCGACAGCCCGCAGACTGTGGGAGAGCTGGGCTTGCACGGCCTCCATGGTGGCCGCAGAGCGGTGGCGGTAGGGGGCAGGTCAGCGGTCGAGCAGAGACCGTAGAGGAAACTGCGTGTCACCGAGGGCAAGGTGCCAATCTGCAGACCGCGTGCTGCGTGACCCCTGCCGTAGGGGCTTCTGGAAGAAGCACAGCCGGAGACAGGAGACAGTGGTCACCAGAGGGCAGTGGTCACCAGAGGGCAGGTACGTGGGACGTCCGGGCAACGAGGCTCCGCTGTGCGGGCTGCACTACGGACACGTGTCCTCTTGCCCAGACCCGCACTGCGCCCCCAAGACGTGAACCCGGCACCCTGGGGATGAGGACAGGTCTGTGTGGTCCGTCACACGTGGCCCCTAGGAGGGGAGGGTGGCAGTGGGGCAGGGGAATGTGGGAAATCCCTGCAGATGCCCTGCAATTTTGACGCGAAGCTGAAACGCTAAAGTCAGGTTTTTTTGTTTGTTTTGTTTTTTTTATTTGACAGAGATCACAAGCAGGCAGAGAGGCAGGCAGAGAGAGGAGGAAGCAGGCTCCCCGCTGAGCAGAGAGCCCGATGCGGGTCTCGATCCCAGGACCCTGAGATCATGACCTGAGCCGAAGGCAGAGGCTTCAACCCACTGAGCCACCCAGGCGCCCCAAAACACCTACTTTTATAAGAAATAATAGTGTGCGCGTTCCCTGGTCTTCAGTAGACGTAGTAGCAGACACGAACTCTGGCTGCGGAAGGAAGACCGCTAGTGGCAGGTGTGCCCGCCAACCGCAGGCGACCACGGCCACGGCCACAGCCACGGCATCTCCGTCCACGGATCATCCCGACCCCCTGGGCCACTCGCGAATGTCGGGGCCGCTGCTCCCACCCCCCTGTGGTGCTGCCTTCACCTCCTTATACAGCAGGCAGCTGCGAGCGTCCCCCCCCGCCCCCCGCACATGTCTGCGCAGGAGCCGCTGGTTGGTTCCATCGCTGCAGATCTGGGGCTCCCTTCTACCCGGACAAACACTGGCATTGTGCCCAGTGTAGCAAAATGACCCCACCAGTAGCAAGGGGGGCTCGCAGCTCTCTCTCCCGCACACACGGTGGGCTCTCCCTCCCCGTGTGACCCCACCTGTTCCAGGGCTCTGCTCCCCAGTCCCGACTGACCGCCCGTGAGCCCCGTGAGACCCAGAAGTTGGCTCGGGATCTGCTCTGGGATCCCTCATTTCAGTCTTTGGAGACAAGTTTTCTTGGCTGTAGTTGAAGTGCTGGGTGAGACACATCTCTGTGTTGTAGGAAGGTCACCCTGCAACGGAGGGCGGGGTGGGGGGGGATGTCCAGAGACCTCGGGTGGCCTGGGGTCGGGGGTCCTGCAGGTGCCCACGCGGTGTCCCGCCCTGAGTATGAGTCGGCTCCTTGCCGGACTCAGGGGAGGACAGGGGCGGTGCCATACACGCACCCCTTCATTTCCACCTTCCGTACCACAGCCTCCTGCCCCAAACCACCAGCCACATGGCAGAGACTGCTGGGAGGGTGTGCGGGGACGCGGGGTCCTGAGGGCGGTCGAGGAGCCCTCCCATGCTGCCCACGCCTCCAGCCACACTTCCTGGGGTAGAGACTTTGAGAGCCCCTGGGGCGTTCTCTCCTTCAGAACCCCTTCTGTAAGGCGCTCACCCGAGCAGGGTGGCGGAGGGACACGTGCACCCTGTGCAGGCGACTGGCTGCGGGAAGCACGGCGTCAGGGATGTGCAGGACGTCCGTGGGTCTCCAGATGCACTACTAAGGCTGGGCACTCACACACGGACCTTCTTACATTTTCTAACTCTGAGCATCGTTATTACCGACAAAAATACCGTTTCAAAGATTCGATACAAGAGGTCACATAGGCACTGCTTGGCGTTTGCAGAAATATTTTGTGCAGATTTCGTTTTCCATTTCCTCCCTTGTTTTGGTCTCCGGGGGGCTTTGGTGAGCAGCGCTAGAATCCGGGGTCCGGTCTCGCCGCCTGCCCACGAGCACCCTGACGACAGAGACGCGTGCGTGTGACCTACGTGTTAACGACACAAACTTACCGGGACTTAGCAAACCTCGCAGATTTGTAAATTCTTCACTGCGGTGCCCCCCAGCAATCGGGCTCCCGTCCCCAGTCCCCGCCCGCTCCAGCGCCTCCCACGTGGGTGTCGCCCGCAAGGCGGGGCAGGTGCCGACACAGAAAAAAGGCACCGGGAGGCTGCGACATCATGGGCACATTTTATTCCTCAGGACATCACAGGCTAACTCTCCTGGCGGAGCAGGTCAGTTCTGTTTCCGTGGAAAGTGTGCACCTTCAGAATCGGGCAGTTCCTCCCTTGGACGCGGTCACCGCGGCTCCTCTGCGGCCCAGGCACGAAGCAAATTCCTCCAGCTCGAAGCCGGCCGCGCGGGCCCAGACGCAAGACTGTTCCGCTCCGAGGAGGGCCGGCTGGACGCCCCGTCCGCGGTCTCTGCGGCAAGTGTCCCTCCCTGGCCGCGCCTGGAGCCTCGCGCCCGGCCTGGCATGCATGCGCTGTGGTTAAGGATAGAGTGAAGGGGTCATTCACAGACGTGTCCGTGGCAGAGAAGACGGCCTCACACGGACTCCTCGGTGGACAGCAGTAACGGGTTGATGTACTCAAAACCTTCAAACTCCGACTGGTCGATCCTCTTGATGACGTCCCTGTGTGGACAGGCAGGGCGCGGGGATGGGTGTCGGGCCCTGCCCCCAGGCCCACCACTGACCCGGACGGGGCTGACAGCAGGCAGGGAGCCCTGACCCCGTGGCCGCCCCCCGCCGGCCTTACTCATCGTCCGGGGTCAGCTGCACGGGCTCGCTGGTGAACTGGGTGTCGAAGTTGTCCAGACCATACTCGTCGGTTATCTGGGGCTGGAATGGCGGGAGGGCCTGCTTCTTCTCCAGCTGGGAAGAACAACGCAAGAAGTCAGGTTGATGCTGTCATCTCTGTGGGATCGGGGTCTGCGGGGACTTAAATCACAGAAAGGAACAGGAAGACACAGTGTTTCACTAGGTGTTCGAAGGCCAGTTTTCGTTTCCCTTAAACACGAGTCTAGGAAAAAGTATCTGAAGCCAGAAAAATCCTGAGTTTAGAAATGCTGGTTGGACACGGCCACGCTGGAGGTCTGCATCCCGCAGCCTGGCCCCTGAGACCGAGCGGGGCTGGGCTTGGGAGTGTTTTCTGTCCTGCATCTTGGAAGCCTGGTCACAAGGGAGCTCGGACTTGGTGGGGCCACCGCCACCCACACCTGTCGTGCTGCGACCTTCTTGCCTGAAGAGCCGTGAAGGACTCGCTCTGTTTCTAATTAGAAGGGGACACTCGACAGGCAGGAGACGGTGCTCCTCAGGATCCGGACCGACTCCCAACTCACCTCTTATGGGTCTGAGACATGCTCGCGCCGCGAGGTGGAGACGGGGTGCCCGCTCGCTCAGTCCCTCTGGGACACACACAAGCTCCCCCCACCCCGGGGTGCGCGCTGTGCACCTGCGTTGGGCCAGGCACGTCCCCAGGCACTAACACGGAGCCATGAGCGAGAGACACAGGTGCCTGCCCCGTGGAGCCATTGTGTCGGGTCCCCTCCCTGCCGCGCAGCCCCGCGTGAAGCTGGGGGCAGGGGGGCGAGAGGAAGCACGAGGCAGACGGCGCAGCCCCGCTGGGCCCTCGGTAGGGCTGAGCCTGGAAATGCCCGCCACGTGGGGCTCCACACGTGCCCGTACGGGCCGTGGAACCGGGCAAGGCCGACGCGACGAGCTGTTCAGGAGCAGCAACGGTGCCCGAGCAGGCATGGGAAGCGAGCGGCACGGGCCCGCGTCGTTGGGTGGAGGATGCGGGGGTGTCCCAGACTCGGGCGAGTCCTGGCCACCGGCCGCCGCAGGGCACGTGGCAGAGGATGGGCCGCCCCTGCAGGCAGAGCGGGCGGCCTGTGTGTGGGGCCCGAGGCCCCGTCCTTGCTATTTCTCACCTTTTCTACGTGACTCGCCACGTTCCTTTCTACGAAAGCTTTTCTGACGGGGCTGGGGGGCATGGTTCTCAGGCCGCTTCTCCACCCCGGGTCTCGCCGCGCTCGGATGTCAGCGGCGGCTCCCAGCGGACCCAAGCAGCGAGCAGGGCTGCATCTGAGGCGAGCAGCTCCCCGGGGCCCCCCACGCCCCCCACGCCCCCCACTCGCCCTGGGGCCCCGGCCTCCAGTCCGCCCGGCCTCCCTCCGAGCGCATCTCACAAGCGTTACCCCCGTTCCTCAGTCAGAAGCACCGGACGCCACGGGGGGACAGGCCACCGCGGGGGTGCGCCGTGTGAGTGGAAAGGACGCTGGCAGGGGCGCGCCACGGCAGCCGGGCAGACTCCAGTTCTGAGGGCCTGAAGGCAAGGCGGGGCGGGCCACCCTGAAGGGGGTGTTGGGGGCACCAGGGGCTCCGTGACACCTGAGAGGAGGCAGGAGGTCCCCGGACAGAGGCGGGTGCTGCTGGCAAGGCTGGGCGGGAAGCAGCCCCACACCGGGGTTGGGGAGAGGCCCAGACCCTGGAGGCTGAGGCCCCCAGGACGGGGTGGGAGAGGCGGGGGTGGGGGTCCAGGACGACTGCATCTCCCGGCGGGGCTCCTCTTGTCCGCTAGTCCCTATTTCCCCAGCTCCGGGTGACGCACCCCCACGGGCTGTGTGCAAGGCAGAGACTGTCCTAGACCCTGCCCTCCTGGCCATGGGGGCAGCGAAGGGATTCCAGGAGCCGCCCTGTGAGGCAGAGGGACCTCAGCACCCGTGTCCCCCTCCACTGCCCGCACAAGCCTCCCACCGGAAACAGCACCCCCCGAGAACTGCGGGTGCTGGGCTCAGGACCCCGTGTGCGAGGCAGCACAGGTCTTCCCGCCGGGGCGTGTCAACGACGGCAGTGGCTGAGCAGGTGGTCACTCACCTCCCGGGGCCACGGGTGTGCCCACATGCCCCCCATGTCCCCGGGGAACCACCTACGCATTCCTCGGAGCACTGGGGTCTGGACGTGGCTTATAAACGTGGACACGACTTGTGAAAGAACCACATCGTTTCATGTCTACGCCATCGCCCCTTAGCGTGCTGATCACGGCAGGCATAGGCTGCCCTTGAGAACCAGGTTTTTGGCAAGGAGGCACTGACCAGGAGTGACCAGATGCCACCCCCAGCGCACGGGCTGGAGCCGCGCCACAGTAGCTGAGGTGTTCACGAGGCCTTTCCAGCTCAGCGGGATGGCGCCTGCCTCGTGGGGGGGCTGCATGTTGCCATGGGCAGACCCTGCCCTGGGCTCAGCCCCTCAATACGTGGTCTGTGGAGGCTCCGTGCGGCCTCCAGGTTGTGGACACCTGGCGGGGCACTTTCCTCCGGGCCAGGTATCCCAAGCTACACTGGTAACGGTCAGAAACCAGCCCACATCCACATTTCCTCCCCGTGTGCCTCAGTTTTTTTCCTTCCTTCCTTCCTTCCTTCCTTCCTTTTTTTTTTAAAGTAATCTCTGCATCCAACATGGGGCTTGAACACACAGCCCTGAGATCAAGGGTCTCACACTCCACCGACGGGGCCCACCAGGCACCACACCAGAGGCTCCTGTGCTCTGAATGCTGTAGAGCACTTGGGTCTGATAACTTCGAGGGAGAGGATGGAGATTCTGTTTTGAAACCGCCCAGCTGCGGCCTGGACAGGGCTGAGCATGGTGGGGTGGGCGCGTGGTCTGAGCACGGGGACCTCACCACGACCCCACAAACGCACGGACAACAGTCCCGTGGGGGGACGTGACAGTGACCGGAGGGAATGGATGTGAGCTGCTCTGCCTGCGGGGCCGGGAGGCGGACCTCAGCGCTGGCTGCGAGGCTGCCATGACGCTGCCCCCGAGGGGGCTTTTTTCCAATCTGGTTTGAATGAAGTTCGATGTTGACTTACTCAGCTAACTGATCTCCTTTGTCTCAGAGGAGCACAGTTTAAAGGTTGTGTTTCAGGAACTCCAACAATTTATGTATTTTGAAACAAACTGAGTTCAATCTCCCTTTAGTATCAGGAACCACCGTGTTTGTAGCCTTCACTGCTTGCCGTGTCCCAAGATGGGACCAAGAAGGGCAGGTTCTGGAAAGCCAACCATGAAACCGGCTCCCACCAGGGGCTTTCACACAGAATCCACCAGGCAACGTGGTCCGATTGAGGACGTCCCCAGATGGACCCCAGGCAGCACAGCACGTGGTGGGGGACACCCAGGCAGGACGTCTCCCAGGGCCCCCGAGGGTGGCCCCACCACACCCTCCATGCCCAGCCCTCCCTCGGGGGTGGGGGACAGCAAGTAGGTCCCCGTGCTTTACCAGGTCCCAGTCTATGCTGCGGAAGAACGCGTGAGACTTGATATCGGAAAATCCCGTCTGTGGCCGGCAGCCGAGCCTCTCTTTGGGGTCCTAGGGGTCAGAGTTCAAATAAGGACCATCAGTATGGAGCAAAGCAACCCGGATTCACAGCCGGAGGACACCGGCTTCCTGCCCCCGAGGCGTGCTCTGGCCGGCTCAGCCACCCGGCTGAAGGGCAGACGCCGCCTTCACTGCGTCTCTCTTGGGCATAATCTCTCGTTCTTTTCTGGCAAGTGTGACTGAAGACCGACGGTGTGCGGGGCAGAGGCCAAATGAGGAAGCAGAACCCCCACCCCCGGAGGTCCTGCAGCAGCCACGGCAAGAGCCACGCGCCGTGGTCAGCCCTCCTGGCGGCCACGCTGTACCTTGTTTAAAAATCCTTTCAGGACGTGGGAGGCCTTCACCGAGAGGAACCGTGGGATCCGGATGGGCTTCTCCAGGATCACTGCAACGAGGGGCCGCGTGAGAAGTCGCGTCACTTCGAGCCGCGAGCCGCGGGGCTCGCCCTGCCCAGCCACAGGAGCTGGGCGGTCTGCAGGGCTCTCGAAACCCCTTCTGAGCAGGAGAGCCCAGGGCGTTTTCAGTGCCCCGGCCCCTCCTCCCGACATCCAGCAGGGTCTCTCCCCGACAGAGGGGCCCCCCACACCGTGCTCAGGATCTCGCAGGAGCCAGCAGCCCCCTCACGGCCCCTGGAGGGCGCCTCTGCACAGGACTGCCAGAGGGCGCTGCGGTGACCACCGTGTTGGGGCATGGGCCTCCCGCGGAGTGAATTCTGGCCCAGGGGCAGGTGTTCGTACTCGCGGGTGGCAAAGAGCCCTAACCGGGTCCCGCCTGCAGGGCATGGGGGTGGCGGGGCAGGAAGGAGTCTGGGCTAAATCAGGACAGGCCGTCTCTCCCGGCGAACCAGTCCTCCACACCGCGGCTGCTCCCACGTCCCCAGCAGTCTTTCCGTCCCTGAGAGCGGGGTCTGCGAGACCAGCCTTGCTTACGGGGTCAGGTGGTGGGGGAGACCCAAACGCACAGCCCGGGGTCGGCGCCTGAACCCTCGGGAGACGGCTCGCGGCCCACGCACCTTGGAAAAGGTAGTCCTCCGTGTTCATGTCGGGGTTGTCGGTGATGATGTCAAAGGGGGAGCGTCCGGCCATCATCTCAAACATCAGAACGCCCAGCGCCCACCAGTCCACACTGAACCCTGGAGGGACGGCACAGGCGCGGCCTGCAGTCGGTCGGCAGGGGCTGGGCCTCGGTGGGGAGGCGGGGGAGCACAGCCGCGGGCATGGCTCTGGCCAGTGCTGGGATGGGTCCCCTGACGTGCCCTGAGCGGCCTGGCCTCCCCTCTGCCCAACGTCATGGGGCCCTTGTCTTTTTCTTTCTTAACTAGCTGCAAAGCTGTTTTCACATCAGGGCCATTAGCCTCTTGCTCGCCTCTGCTGGTTTTCCAGATCGTCATCTGGCCCTTTAGTCCCGCCCGTGGCGCCCTGACCGCGCGGACTTGTGCTGAGCAGGCCGTCCTTCCTGCTGCCCTCTGGTTTACTACCTCAGCTCCAGATCCCGTTCTCAAAGCCCGCAAACTCTCCTTCCAGTCTTCCTGCACCGCCGTTTCACGGTGTCTCACCGCACCGGGGGTGGGGGAGGGAGAGCCCGGCTTCCATGGTGCCTGTGGCCTCTCGGACCCTCTGTAGCAGCTGCCCCATCCTGGATGGGACCCCCACCCCAGGCCAGCTTCTAGACGCTCGATCCTGGTCTGCCCATCTGCCATCTGTCCTTCCCTGTCTGTCCTTGGTGACCCCGGGAGAGCAACCTGGCGGGGCCTCTGACCCGAGCAGGCAAGGGACCTGCCCACCCAGCCAGCCCCCATGTCAATGGCAAAGGAAATATTTAAAAATATCTGGTGGCGTCTTTGTGACACATTCCACTGAAAACACTAGGACACAAGAATATGTGGGGTGTGACATACGCACACACATGTAACACATGTACATCACACACGTGCAAACACAACATGCGTGCAAGCACACAGGCACATCCTACATGCACCATGCTCACACACATAAACACATCACACAAACCACGCACACGCACTACATGTGTACAAACGTGTCACATGTGGCACTTCACACACACGTGCGCACGTGATCTCATTTTTGTCTCAAGCCGAGAGTGCAGAGGGGCAGAAACACAGTCCGCAGGGGCTGCAGGCGGCTCGGCCGTCCCACTCGCTCCCTTTCCCACGGCGGGGGCGGCAGCCAGTGGGGGCACTTGTGTACACGCATGGGGCTTCTGCTTCCCTACCCGTGAGGGGTCCTATCAGTTCCTCCACCAGGGGCTGCCGGAGTGGACACCCAGGAGGACAGAGGGGGCCACACAGGTTCAAGGAAGGGCTGAGGCCACATGGTGACAGGGGCCAGCAGCAAGGTGAGGGGTGTATTTGGCCACTGGGCTTGGGCCCTGGAGCCGTCGGCCCCGGGCAGGTCCACCTGGCCCGCTCTGCCCCGGGACCACGTCCCTGAGAAGATGGTGCCTCCAGGAGCCAGAGGCTGTCCCTGTTTGCACGTGCAGGCCGTGTGCCAGCGGGCCGCCCCCACCCAGCTGGCAGCCCTGCTCACCGTACTCCTCCCCCCGCAGGATTTCTGGGGCGATGTAATTCGGGGTTCCGCAGAAAGTGCTGGTTGTGTCACCAGGGCCCAGGCCTTCCTGTGGGGACAAGTCTGTTACCAGGAGGGAAGAAAACCTGCAGTCACCCCCCCTGGCGGGTCGACGTGTCTCAGAGAAAGCCAGCGCGGGGCAGGGAAGGCGGTGGAGGTGCCTCGGCCCCCAGGAGCCACGGAGCCCACGCGGGTACCCCTGCAGCAGGGGCGCCGCCCAGGGACCACGTACTCGCCTTGCACATGCCGTAGTCCGTCAGCTTGATGTGGCCGTCGGCGTCGAGGAGGACGTTGTCCAGCTTCAGGTCCCGGTAGATGATCCCGCGCTCGTGCAGGAAGTTGAGGGCGATGCAAATCTCGGCAGCATAGAACCTGGGGGCAGCGGAGAGAACCCGGCGAGGAGCGTGGGTGGGGGCCCGCGCAGGCCGAGGGGAGCTGGGGAGACGCCGCCGGCCCCACGGCTCTCCCAGCAGACGCCCTGGCGTCTTCTCGCAGAGGAACACATGGGCCAACAAGGCCACGAGACACACTCGACGTCCGCACCGTCAGGGAGACACAAATCCAGACTGCCTCCCACTCGTGAGGATGGCCACTCTGACAGACAGACGGGCAGCCGGACAGACAGCCAGACCTGCGGGCGAGGGCTGGGGAGACCGGCACGGGCAGCCGCTGAGGGAACAGTGTGAAGGTGCCCCGGTTAAATCCAGAAATCCCCCTCGAGCTAGGGTCTGGGAGAAAGGTGTGCACGGCCCCGTCTCAACTGCCCTGTTCAGCGGGGCCAAAGGTGGAGGCCACCTAGGTGCCCCTCACCAGACAGATGGACAAGTGAGCGTGGCCCCTCCACGCAGTGGGGAACTCCTGAGCCTGCGGCGACCCGGCCGGACCTCGAGGACTCTCGCTCGGTGACATGAGCCAGTCCCAGGACAAACGCGGTCGAACTCCCCTCAGGAGGCACCCAGCGGGGACCAGGGAGGCCAGGGGGCCAGTGTCTCGTGGGGGCAGGGTGTCTGTCCAGGAAGATGGAATGTTCCAGAGACGGACAGCGGAGACCGCTGCACAATGATGTGAACATGCTTCGCGTCTCTGAGCCGTGCAAACATCAAGGGCACCGTGAACTTCACGCGCCACCCACAGTTAGAGAAGAGGCTTGTGTGCAGGGAGGGACCGATGCCTGACTCACTGCCTGCCTTTCCTCAGACTCACAAGCTGCACGAGCTGTTTCAGGGGAGGGCGTGCGGAGCAGGGAGAGCCGTGGGGAGCAGGAAGGGGCAGGGACCCTCGGGTTCGGGTTCCCGTGGCGGCAGGAGGGCGGGTGGCAGGCATTGTTGTCACTTAAACAGAAACAGGCTCTTCCTCTCCAAGCGCCAGTGCCCTGCTTTGCATCGGTGTAACGAGAATCAGTGCTGGCACGGTGCCCACTTGGGGGTTCCCGGCCGGAGCGTGTGCCCCCTGCCCAGGTGCTGAAAACAGGGCAACGGCAGCACCACGCGCAACACCGTTGTGCACACGCTCTCCCAGGAGCCCCCACTTCTCCGGGGGACGTGCCGTCCTGCTCTGGTGGCCGAGACCCAGTGGGCCGTTTCTGAGGTTCTGCAACTCAGGGAACCCACAAACCCTAGGACCCCTGAGCTGCACCAGAGGGGACAGCGCGTCCTCTCTGCCATGTCCCCCAGACTCCACCTCCCTTCCAGCTCACTGCTGGCCTCTAAGGAGGGGTCCTGCTGCCCCTGCCCGCTGGCACAGCACCCACCTGGCATGCTCCTCTGGGAGTTTCCTCTGTCTCTGCATGTGGAACATGAGGTCCCCGCCATTGACGTACTCGATGACCAGGAACAGCCTGCAGGGGGACAGAGGTGTGGGGGCTGAGATGCTGCACATCCCAGGCCCGACCTCGCTGGAGGCAGGTTCGACCTGGGGAAGCACCGTGACCAGGAAGAGCCGAGCCTGGGTGCTGGCAGGTCAGCTCTCCTCCTGTGAGGCCAAGGCAGGGAGGCGCCTGGGGACCCCTGACCCCTCAGGCCAGAAAAGAAAGCAGCCCCGACCGAAAAGTCAGGCTCTGTACCAGGTCCCTGGGGCATCATCCTGGGGGACATCGAGACTCTGCCTGTGGGGTCTCTTGTCCTGATCAGTTCCGGTCCTGACACAGGGAAACAGCACAGACAACAATTCCTGTCACCCAGCAGAGAGCACGTGCTGTTCCCGCGGGACCGGTAGAGGCAGGACACGGACCTGTGGGCCCACCGTGGAGGCCGAGGGGCCTGGGAGAGCAAATGCAAAAGCCATGGGAGGGGGTGGCCATGTCTGGCGAGCGATTGTTCCGCCCGCCAAGTCTGGATGGACCCCAGGGAGGCATAAGGAGGTAGTCTGTCCCCGGGCGGGAGCCCCAGTGGCTTGAGTGGGGACGGTGCAGTAGGGGGCACCGAGGACAGCCTATGAGCTTGCAGAGATCCGGATACCAGGGCGGAGAGAAGGGGGTGGGGCCACTGGACGGCCTGTCCCAGCACAGGGATGAGTTGGAGGCAGGGAGAAAGCCCGGGGGCAGCGGGGGCTAGGGCGGGCCAGCATGACCCTGCATGACCTCGTGGCTAAGGAACCGGGACCACACACCATCCCAGTCTCTTCTGCAGGACGTCTTTCTCACGTTCAGTAAGATGCCGTTTCCAAAATTAAATTCACGCGCAAGAAACACCTTGTTGAGGGCCCCTCACAGCTCCTTCGGGTGGGGAGTGGGAGTGAGCACGGACAGCTCGCAGGTCGGCTCGTGGGTCACAGGTGGCCAGCCACGAAGATGGAGGTCACTTTATACGAGTGAGCACCGAGCTGCGGCCACCGTGGAGGTTTTCGTGGGTGCTAACCGAGCGACAACCAGAAACCCGTCAGTCCGCAGGCTGAAAAGGGCCTGGACCACAAGCGAGGAGCCTTTGGCCCTCATTCTGTGCCCCTGACTCCCCAGGGTGTGTCTAGATGGACGAAGAAAGCTCGCCCTCCCCGGGATTCGCCTGTGTCCATAAAGCTTCATGGGCACGGAGCTACGTCCACTCACGTACGTGTGTGTGCCAGCGCTCACGCGACAGCACATGCGAGATGGAAAACATTCACCGTCTGCCAGCGCACATCCAGTCCCGTCGGCCACCGTGAGGGAAACGCGGTGGTTATCGCACCCCTGGGCAGGGACCTCGGGCCTAACAGTTCACCAAAGTGTTAGAAAAAAAAAAGCACATTAACTCAAACCTCTTAGGGTGACCTTGAAGCGCAGGTCAGAGATTTTCCACAACAATCAGGGACCGTGTCCCCGGGACACGGCTCACTTGAGAACCTGCACCCTCCCAGCGGAGGCGTGCACCCCGACATTGTGCTCCTCGGGAAGGGCCTCCAGGGCCATTGGCCCACTTGCGGTGACAGGGACAAACCTGACGCCACTTCAGAGAAACTAGCAGAACACACGGCTCCTGTGGGAAGCAACGAGAGCCCGAGGGGGCTGGGGCGCGAAGCCGGCGTTCAGACGTGTGGAGAAGTGGAAGCCGAGGCATGTCCCTTCCCACCTGGAGAGAAGCCCAGCGCGGGCGTCTGGGACGAGGCGCAGCCAGACTGGCCCCTGCCCCGGACGTCACCGGTCGGGATTTGCCCACTGGGCGAAGCTGGTCGGGCCCAGTCACCGCGGAGGAGCTGTTTTCCTTCCACAGCAGCTGCAGACGCAAGTCTTTCGGTTTGCTTTGTGTCTTCTTCCCGTCTACAGACCAACGTGAGGACAACCAGGACATGGCTTCAAGAAAAACTGTACCAGAGCCACAGGTCGTGGACTCTCCGCCGGTGTCCCGGGGGCCTCAGAGCTGGCCTCCGTGTCAGCGGGGCTCACCTCCCGCTTGGGGGCACCGCCACGTGCAGCAGCTCATGGGGTGGCTTGGGAGTGGCCCGTGTCCTTGCACCCACGACCCCGGGTCACACGGCCATACCAACCCACCTGGAGGGAGGGAAGGGATGGGTCCAGAGGCCTGCGGCTGCCCGCCAAGCTCGGGGGCCGCCCTCGGCCAAGCTCTCGCACCGTCCGCTTGGACGCCGCCCCAGGAAGGGAAAGAAGCAGAACTGTGGGGCCGGGTCACCTCCGACCCCGTGGCCCTGGTCACCCCGACGGGAACCCGGGGGCTGCAGCCCCTGCTGGCTGGAGCAAACCCGGCACAGGGGGACTCACAGAGCTCCTGGGGGAGAGCTGGGCGCAGCCTCGCTCCTCAGCGCAGAGGACCCACGACACCCTCCCCACGCTGCCCCGTGGAATGAAGTGCCCAGCCCCGCCCGTCAGCTCAGAGGGAAAGACTGATGCCAGCGGACAGAGCGCGCGTGCTCGGGTCGAGAGCTGATGCCGTGTCCGGCCCACCACCTGTGTCTGTAGATGAAGTTTTACGGAGACACTGCACGTGTCTCTCTGCAGGCACTGTGTACGTGGTCTTTGCACCACCGCAAACTGTGGTCCTCAAAGGTGAAAATACTTTTACTCTCTGGCCCCTGGAGAAGCAATGCTGACGGCTAGTACACAACCTAAGAACAGCCGTTCCCGCCTCACCGACCCTCAGGCTGGAGACTCAGCACGTCTGGGCATTAATGTTTAACACGGTGACCCCAGCCAGAGGGGAAGCAGGGGCACTGGGAGGCAAAGGACTTTCTCAGGATCACAGTCACTGTGAGATCTGACACCACAGGATCTGGGCGAACCCAGAACCCACACTTGGAACCCCCTCCTGCAGGTACCGTCCCCACATCACAGGCGTGGCTGCCCCCAAAGGAACTGTCCGATGAGGAAGGAGAAGATGCTCGGGGGACAGAGGAAAAGAAAAGGGAGGCAAGGTGATAAGTGGCAATCGGCGAGCACAGCGGGACGGATCGGGTCAAAGATCAGAGGACACTGGCAGACGGGAAGCTGATGGAAGTCGGGGGGGCAGACAGGTTTATGTTGTCCAAAGAAATCTGCCAGAGCAGGAGACAGCCAGCCGGGCCTCGGGTCCCCCCAGAGAGGAAGAAAGCCAGAACATACCCCCAATATTTGGGGGCCCTGAGGCGAGGATGACCCCAGTAAGCTGGGGCCAAAGTGGGACAGTCGCCCTTGGGCGGGAAAGGGAAGGGAACCCCCAGCCCCAGGACGCCATCTGACCATGAAATGGAGCAAACCACGAGACGGACATAGGGAAGCAGCTGCAGGAGGGCCAGGGTGGGACGTGAGCACCAGGAGAGCGCAGACAACCGGGACGCGGGACGGGAGCGCCTGCTCTTGCAGCAGCCGGTGGCGCGCCCACGGGGCAAACACCAGAGTATTCCCGGGAGGCCAGGAGGAGTCCAGGCTTGCCCTCCACCAGCGGCCACCGCACGAGGCAGCCACGGGCCAAGTCATCGGACGCACAAGGAGGGGCGTGGGCTGGAAAGGAGCGGTCGTCTGCCCGCCCATGTTCTGACCACACCCAGCGGACACGGCAGAACCGCGGCCAGCTCCGGGGGCCCCGAGCACAGGAGCTGCACGCACGCGGCCGCCCGCTCCGCTGGGAGAAGGGGCGAGGAGTGTCCAGGATGGACGTCACGCCAGTGGGGAAGCCTCTGCGTGACGGAAACGTCGCCCCCACCGAACGGGAAAGAGCGACAAGAAGACACAGGAGGCGAAGCGGGAGCAGCGATGGCCTCGGCCGCCCACGTCCACAGCGACCTCCCTGCACAGGGCGCCCGGCCGGCTGGGTCGAAGGAGCACGCGCTGCTTGATCTGGGGCTCGTGACTTGGAGTCCCATGTTGGGTGCAGAAATTGCTTAAAATAAATAAAGAATAAAAATATTGCGTCAAGTTCTTAAAAGAATTCTCTGAAGTGGCTTCTGACGTCACCAGATCGTTGGCAAAAGCAGTTTCAGGTCCGCCTGACAGCGCCCTCTCATCCGGGCCCGAGGCCTGCCCGAGGCCTGTGCTGGCCGAGGACCAGGGGGCTCCCGGGCCTCATCCAAGTCAGGTCCCCGCGTCCCATTGGCGTCCCCAGGACAGACAGCGCAGCCCACGAGCCTGCCCCAAGGCGGCCGGCTGCCCCCCAATGAGGAAGACACACAGCCACTTGCACGGTCCCCGGTGGATGGAGGCCAGTCCCTGAGGGTCCGCGGCGGCCCAGGGCTTGGTCACCCGCAGCGTTTCTAAAAGCAGCGCGGTCTCCCTGCACCCGTGGGTCAGACGAGCCCCCCCCGCCATCTCGTGACTGCCGCTGTGAGTAACAGGCCTCCTCCTCCCTACGACGCCCCCCGGGCTGGGTTGTCTGCGGCCTAAGCCAACCTGCCCGGGAGCCTGCGGGTTAGGGTGCCCCCACAGCCCGCCTGCCGCCGCCCCCCGCGTCCACACCTTCTGTTCTGGGCTTCGGTTAACTTCCGACTCCAACGAATGTGCTGTTTGGAAGGTGCAGAGACGCAGTGCCGGAGGGGAAGGTGCCAACCCCCGGGTCTCGGGTGGTTCCTGCTGCGCCCACGGCCTCCCTCCATGAGCAGAGGCCTCAAGAGAATCCGGTTTTCCCGAGCTCCCCCCAGGAGGCTCAACCCGGCTGTGGTTCTGCTCACCCACCTCTCCGCTTGCCAGCCATCACCCCTGCTCGACGAGGCCTGACCTCCTCCGTGGCACCTGTAGCCACAAACACCTGGCGCACACGTGCTTGCCACCGACCCCAGCGCCCCCGGCTCTCTGTGGGCAGACCCTCACTTCTGCCCCCAGATCTCTGCCACGGTGTAGCCTGGTGAGTCCTGCCACCCACTCCCCGGCATCAGGCGACACGTACCGTCCTCAGCTCCATTCTGACGCCTCCTACTGGGCCTCCATGTGCCCAGTGGGTCTGCGCCCGTGCCCGGACCCCACACTGCCAGCCCTCCTAGGGACTGGGCATCGGGCGTCCGCAAGAGGGTACCACCGGGCCTCCGTGTCCCTGGAGCCCAAGTGGCTGTGGACAGCTCCAGGATGACCCCCCACATCTCTGAGCCCCTTTCTCCTCCTTCCAAACACACACCGCCTCCTCTAGGACGTGGCCCTGTGCCCATCCCCCTCCCCCCACTCCGCTCCGGCACCCGCCCTGCAGCACTGCGGTGCCCCCTCGGCGGGGCCGGCCCAAGCCCCGGCGCAGGCCCTCCAGACCTGCAGGCGAGTCCTCGGGGGCACATGAAAAGGAAGAACACATGTGACAGCACCGGCCAAGTGGCACTAACGCCCAGACACCACCCTGAACCGACAATGCACTCATGCGTCAAGGTCAGCACGCGGCGCAGGAGGCGCTCCCGCAAACAGCAGGTGTGACAGGCTCGTCTGCGGGCGCAGCCACGTTCCACGCGAGGGGAGCCCGGCGCGGGAAGTGGCGGCACTGGGCTGCGAGCTCGCGTGCTGGCGCAGGGAGCCGACGGTCAACACGAACGCCAGCTTGCTCGTCTGAGATCGGGGTCATGCTAAGTGCGACAAACGTGCCCAAATGGCAATTGGGGGGGCTGCTAAAAACAGTCACCTCAGCTACACCCTTCAGCCCATTTTTTCCTGGAGTTGCTCAAGCAGAAGCAATTTTGTAGTTAATTTTCATTGCGGCCATTGTCTGGGAAGGACGGGCTGCGTGTGGCCGCGAGGTGTGGTTTTTCCACAGCGCAGATGCTCCTTCTGGGTTAGAAGAATCCTTGGTCTCCGCTGCGCGTGACACAAGCGCCCGGCCTGAACCCCCAGCGGAATGGCAAGCTGCCGGCGCACTCGGCCGACCTCCCCCGACCGCGGCCCAAGCCCAGGCTCCGGCGGTTGCTGGTTGTCCTGTGCACAGATGCGGCAGGTGGGGCTCCCGCCCCCGGACACAGGCCTGCGGCAGAGCCTCCTGCAGCTGGGAGCCGAGGGGCGGCCTCCTCAGCCCCCCGCTGGCGGGGCTCCCTTAGTGTCCCGTCCCCCGGCTGCCCACACCCCTGCTCGCTGGGCCTCGTCACATCCACGATCCAGTCCCCGTGGGTGTCTGGCTGGCCGTGAAGGTCTGTGGGCGCCGTGCTAACCGCCACCCGACCGTGACGGGGGGCGCTGCTGGTCCTCCGGGGCCTGCACACGCACCAGCACAGAGCGGGCCCTCAAGCAGACGGGGAACAGCAGCTCCCCAGGCGCCGGGCCTCGCTGTCAGCATTTTAACCTCTTACTAATTCCAGCAGCGGCCCTAAGAGGCGGTGTCCCTGCGGCTCCCTGTTCCCAGAGGAGAGTGGGTGCAGACAGGTTACCCCAAGTTCACACAGCAGACAAGAGGAGGGCTAGGCCGGCACCCCAGCTGGACTCTAGACCTCAGGAAAAACTAGGTGCCGTGTGCACTGGGCCCTCCCAGGCTGTTCCTGTGGGCTTCTCAGAGACGTCCCGACTCTGTACGCAGCCTCGCAGCAGAAGCCGTCGGCCGGAAGGTCATCCCGGCTGTGCGATCCAGCCTGCTCAGGCATGTGCAGGACTTTGAGCTCCTCTCGGAGCTGTTTGTAACGTCTATAACCCTCACTGATTCGTGAGTCACAAGGAACACGACACGTGTTCACTTTATACTTGTACCAAGCATGTGACTGTACCTTCAAGAAATATTCTTTAGGGGCGCCTGGGTGGCTCAGTGGGTTAAGCCTCTGCCTTCAGCTCAGGTCATGATCCCAGGGTCCTGGGATCGAGCCCTGCATCGGGCTCCCTGCTCCACAGGAAGCCTGCTTCTCTCTCTCCCACTCCCCCTGCTTGTGTTCCCTCTCTCAGTGTTTCTCTCTGTCAAATAAATAAATAAATAAAATCTTTTAAAAAAATAAAATAAGGGGGGGGCGCCTGGGTAGCTCAGTGGGTTAAAGCCTCTGCCTTCGGCTCAGGTTATGATCTCGGGGTCCTAGGATCGAGCCCCACATTGGGCTCTCCACTCAGCAGGAAGCCTGCTCCCCACCCCCCGCCTGCTTCTCTGCCTACTTGTGATCTGTCCCTCTGTTAAATAAATAAAATCTTAAAAAATACACACACACACACACACACACACACACACACACACACACACACACATTCTTTAAACAGCATAACTGCCTACAGGGTGTCAGGTACCAAGTAGATGCTGGGGGCCCGCAGGCACTCGGAGCCACACTGCTCTCTCCAGGTGCGCGCCACGGGCTGGGGACACGGGCACACACAGTCGGGGTCAAAGCAGGCACATAAAAATGGCCCAGGGGAGACACCCTATCTGGACTAACCAGGTGTTTGGAGCTTCTAGACAGACTGACAGATCCTGTAAAAATGAGACAAACTTGACATCCTGGGATGGGGCCTTCCCTCAGGAATGTTGTAAACACACCTTCTACACATCAGTCTGGAAAAGCGGAGCGGCCATGTCACAGGGTCACACACAAACACTGAACAGACACACTTGTTTTCAGTTCTCTTCGCACACCTGGAACGTGACACACGGACCATCTCCGGGGGCGGAAAGTTCTGTGCTCCCGGCAGTCGAGACAGGAGGGAGATTGAAAGTCTGACCCTTTTACACTCACACCCCCACGAGTTCACACACCAAAATCAACCAAAACAAGTCTTTTGGAATCTCACCATTCAGGAAATGTGGGGTTGGGACGGGCTGTCTGCCCTTGGGCATCATGTGTAATTCCAAAGACCGTGGTCAGTGTTTCACAGAGGCATGGGGAGAGCACACAGAATACAGCAAAGGGACCTTTCCAGAAGCTCTGAGGCAGGAGGGCCGGGGGGAGGGCAGGGCAAAGTGACAAAGATGGACAGAACAGAGCGATCCAGGGAGAATCCTGGTCCCAGCAACCTGTCTCGGGCCCAGGGGCCTAGACCACATCCCAGAAGCAACTGGGAGAGAATCAGAGGAGCTTCAAAGCAGGAGAAAGACACTTTAGATCTGTGTTTTCAAAATATGGCTTAATTCCAACACTGACAGCCTGGGGAGCCCCAGTGACCAGATGCCCCAAAGGGGCTATGGTCAGGGTTCAGGCAGGAGAGAAGGGCAGAGTCTGAGACACATTTAGGAGGCCGTGTCGGTGAGATCCGGAGAGGGGACAGCTACAGATATGGGGGAAAGGCCATTTATCCCAGGTGCCTTGTGCCTTGGACACACAGGTGGGTCAAGGGACTAAAGGTCAGGAGGGAGGTGAGAGTGGACGGTGTGGGGACGTACGAGTCACCAGTCTGATTTACAGCTGAGCTGAGTCATCGTGAGCTGGACAGAGACTGTTGTCCCCAGAAAGACCCATTTTCCAAGCCTGGCCCCTGGCTGGAGTCTGGGAACTTAAGTGGTAGATGACTCCCTCCACCGATTAAAAACCTCCCCCGAATCCTAGGCGCGGTCTGCGGTGCATAAAACAACACGGTTTCTGCGGACACCGGCTTTCTTCTGAGAGCCTGGAATACTGTGGCGCGCGCCAGCCGACTGCGGCCTGTGTGATCCCATTGGGCAGCTCCTGGCTGCTTTCCTCCCTGCGTTACCCTGCGCCTCCTCCCCTGCCGGCTCTGCTTCGTACCCTGTCACGGCAGGAAAGCTCAGCCTTGAGTCCTACTGTGTGCCGGTCCTATGAGTTCTGCTAAAGCACCGAACCCGGGGGTGGTCCAGAAGACCCCGGGCACAGAACAGAGTCAATATTTTTTGCAAATAAACAAACGGAGTGAGTTCAAGACAACTGACTGAGAAGAATTCTAAACCGAGTATATACTGACTATCCCGGACCAGTGGTTTTCAAGCCTTTTAAAACAGCAGGATTTCAGGGGCGCCTGGGGGGCTCAGTGGGTTAAAGCCTCTGCCTTCGGCTCAGGTCATGATCCCAGGGTCCTGGGATCTAGCCCCTCATCGGGCTCTCTGCTCGGCCGGGAGCCTGCTTCCTCCTCTCTCTCTGCCTGCCTCTCTGCCTATTTGTGATCTCTGTCTGTCAAATAAATAAATAAAATCTTAAAAAAAAAAAAAGCTTAAAAAAAACAACAAGGGGACGCCTGGGTGGCTCAATTGGTTAAGCGGCTGCCTTCGGCTCAGGTCATGATCCCAGCGTCCTGGGATCGAGTCCCACATCGGGCTCCTTGCTTGGCAGGGAGCCTGCTTCTCCCTCTGCCTCTACCTGCCACTCTGTCTGCCTGTGCTCGCTCTTGCTTCTCTATGTCAAATAAATAATAAAATAAAATATTAAAAAAAAACCAGGATTTCAATATAAAGTTTTACTAAGTGAAGTTGCTGGTATTTTTTAATTTATTCTGCTTATTGGTAATATCTGTGAGCACAGAAACCCGCCTCATGCCCAGTACGGTGTCCCAACACCTAACCCAATGCCTCTACTCCTGTACTTAGTAGGATGTTTTCAATAAATATTTTATAAATGCAGTTAAATAATTTAGGTTCAAATCCACGAAATTTACTTGATACAAGACACCGGCACTGAAGAGAACAACAAAGTTAGTTTTGATGAGCCAAAACAAAACAAAAAAATCAAACATAAAAACCCCAAAACAAACCCATACTTGCAGCTGAAAGAACCCTAATGTGATGGTGGAAGCCGCATGCCGACTCACTTGCTGTGCAATGCAATTCAGAAATCAGCAGAATCTTAGAAATACACTCTTTTTCTTACCGACTTGTTGTCTGGAAGCAGGAGTGTAAGCCGACCAGGAAAGGGTTGCTGGATGCCTGCTCAAACACATGCTTCTCTGTCTGCACCCAGTCAATATCCTGAAAATAGAAACCAGGGCGTGTTAATGAGCCTCCTGAATACTCTTCATCCTCGAGAAGGGGGGAGAGAGAACCGTCTCTCACCTCCGCTTATAGGAAGACAGTGCAGACAGGAAAAGAAAATGCCCATTAAGAAATACATCACCACCACCACCCCATCTCTACCACCATCTTCACTGTCATGTTCATCACCACCACCACCACCATCACCACCACCATCACCACCATCATCACCATCACCACCATCACCACCACCACCACCATCACCACCACCACCACCATCACCACCACCACCACCATCACCACCACCATCACCATGAATACCATCATCATCATCATCACCATCACCACCATCACCACCACCACCACCACCACCACCATCACCACCATCACCACCACCATCCACCATGAATACCATCATCATCATCACCACCATCATCACCACCACCACCACCACCACCATGACTACCACCACCATCATCATCGCCATCATCACCACCATCACCACCACCATCATCATCATCACCACCACCACCATCATCACGACCATGATCACTACCATCACCACCATCACCACCACCATCATCACCAGCACCAGCACCATCATCACATCATCATCACAATCACCATCACCATCACCATCGCCATCATCTGTCACCATCTCTACCACCATCACCAGCTGTGTGCTGGCCTCTGAGCTACAGACTCTCCATGCACTGCCTCATGTGCTCCCCGTGGCAGCTGCGGGGGGCTAGTATCATCACCACTTAAGACAGGAGGAAACAGGATGGATGCTTAAGCAGGTTCCCCCACGTCCCATGCCCATCTCTAGAGCACTAGCTCTAGTACAGGGCTTTCTCCCAATCCACGCTGGAATCTGGGGAAAGCTGCAAAGTGAAGTCCCTTTAGAGGCACAAAGATTCCACAGCTCTGATTTCATTCTGATCCAGAAAGCGAGTTAGATGAAGTTGAGCCTCTCCTCCTAAGGGTTGAGAAAGCGAGAGGGAAACAGATGTGTCCAGCGTCGTGCTGCCTGCTCCTGAGGGTGTTTGGAAACAAATGAGCAAACTCTCAGTGGGGTTCATCCTCCTTGGGCTCAGTCCAGAGCTTCCTCTACTCCCCAGAAGACCCCGCGGGTGGTCCAGCTTTGGAGCCAGCCATCCAGGCAGAGGGGTCCCAGCCTCGCCTCTCCTTGAGCTCAGCTAATGCAACGGCCAGTTGGTAGCCCCACGGGGCGTCTGGCACCGCACAGGAGGCCCTCAACCGAGCTCCCAACCAGCCTCGGCCATCTGTGCTCCAAAGGGACCTGGTCACCCAGGTGCTCACGTGAAAACCCTGGTAGGAGTCTGAGACTTGCCTTCCCTCCCACATAATAAAGAAACCAGGGTCTCCCGCTCGCAGGCAGCTGCTCCTTCCTGTCTGCAGGCTCCCGAGGCCGTTTCAACAAAGTGCCATCGACAGGGGGCCTGAAAACATCCAGCCCCAGCCTCTCACTGTCTTGAGCCAAAAGCCTGAAATCCAGGTGCCGGCAGGGTCACACCCCCTCTGGAGCCCCGAGGGAGGACAACCTGCCTCTTCTGTGCCTCCCTTTGCACACTGGTGTCTGTGTGTCTGTTTCCTTCTCTCTGTCTGTCTGTCTGATCTCTGCCTTTCTCTAAAAGGACACCTGTTACTGGACTCACGGCCCATCCAAACAATCCAGGACGATCTCCCCAAGATCCTTCATTTAATCACACCTGCAAGGACCCCATTCCCAAGTAAGTTCAGATTCACAAGTTCCAGGAGTTAGTATGTGGGCATATCCCCTGCAGGCCACATCTAGCCCGCTGCAGTGTCCCCACTGATGTCCACGGCCCACACTCATGGCCACAGACACCAGGGTTTCGCACAGATGCACAAACACAGACAGGCATGCGACACATGCAGACACACACAGGCACACACACACGTGTGCACACGCAGCTCCCACTGAATCCTAGAGTCACACTTTTCTCGAGAGATCACCTACAAGTCCCACCCCACATCTTGGTCCACAGGGGATGATTTAAAGATGCCAAGAATGAACCAAAGCAGTAAGTCTCTCCTAACTGCTTCTTTCAGTTCCATGAACTTGGCTTCAGACAACCCACTAACTTTTCAGCTGGCCAGGGTTCCTGTAAGGGCGTCTGGAATCACCCTGCTGTGCTGCTAACCAGCAGTGAAGACTGGAGCAAGCCACCTCCTCCTAAGCCTCAGTCTCCTCAGCTGTGAGGCACCGGTGCCACCACTCACTCACAAGCTCAGCACTCAGGGGCCAGTTGGGCAGTCTGTGCACTGCACAAATGCACCCTGCTGGTAGGGCAAGTAATAGCTCTAGTTTAGCCCCAGCTCTTCCCTCCAAACCACGAGCCCGGGCCAGCGCTGGGGAGCCCTCCTGTGGTCCGCTGGGCCCACAGAGCTCAAGCCACCTCATGTACTACACGGGCCCAAAGCAGCAGCAATTCCTGCTCCCCATGCATCCAAACCCTCTGCTTCTAAGACACAGACCCTGCACTCAGCTGTGAAAGACCAAGACCAAAAAGACACGAAGCCAAGAAGCCCACAGAGAGGCCCAACACCAGCAGCCATCCCGGGAATGCGGATCGAGCCACAGGGAGGCGCCGCTCCGCACCCCTCCGCGATAATCACAAACCAGAAAATGGCAAGTCCAGGAAAGGGTGCGCGGAACTGGGGCCCTCGCGCATGGCTGGCAGGGACGTGAAGCGCGCACCTCCGGGCACGGCTTGCTGGTTCCTCCCACAAGGCAGCGTGAGTGCCCCTCTGGGGCAGCACTTCCACTCCCAGGTCAATCCCCCAAGAACTGGAGACGGCGCCTCAAACAAACGCCCACACGTGAACATTCATCAGGGCACGGCTCACAGTCGCCAAAAGGTGGTCTGCTCAGAAAATGGAGTATTATTCAGGTATAAAAAGCAATGAGGTTCCAGGGCATCTGGGGGGCTCAGTTAGGCGCCTGCCTTCAGCTCGGGTCATGATCCCGGGGTGCTGGGATCAAGTCCCACATGGCTCCTCCTGCTCTGTGGGGCGCCTGCTTCTCCTTCTGCCTCTGCCTGCTGGTCCCCGGCCCTGCTCATGCTCACGCACTCCCTCTGTCTCAAATAAATAAAAATCTTAAAAAAAGAAAAAAAAAAAAAGCAAGCAGGGACGATCTGACACGTGCTACTATTACGGGGATGAACCTCGGAACGTGACACCCACTGCGAGACGCTGGACATGAAGGGCCGCACAAATGTGCACTTTAAAATGGTTAAAACGGGGCATTTCACTACGTGCACTTTACTCCCATTGCAAGAAAGAGGCGGCCGGGATGAGGTCCTGAAAGGATGCGTGAGCTGGCGTCGGCACTCACCTCGTCATCATGGACCAGCTCCTTCTTCACCACCTTCATGGCATACATCTGGTCGTTCTTCTTCAGCCGCACCAGCAGGACCTTGGCGTAGCTCCCACGCCCGATGACCCTGATCAGGTCGAAGTCCTGCAGACCGAGGCCCTGGGAGATTTTGATTCCGTCCATCCCATCGATGACCGGCTGCAGGTCCTGAGGACGAGAGAGGACGTGAGAAAGGAAAGGCTCCTGGCCGTGGAGCTGATGAGTCCCTGCGGGCGCTTCTGCTCACAGGCTCCGACCCCACCATCATGCCAGGCTCCCCAGTCACAGCCCAAGGCCGCCGTGTGAGTACGGGGTTCCCCGGGGCCTCCCACAGGCCCCCCAGCAGCGCTCTCCGAGGGTCAGAACGCTTCACCAGCTGAGGCGTGCACAGCCCCACGCCTGGGCTGCAGAATGAAAGAGAAAGGCGATCCCGTGAAAACAGAAGCTCCCCGCCTATCATCCTTTCTGGCAAGGGTATCGGCGGTGAACGCAGGACAGTGCTCCTGCCTCATCCCAGATGCGGACCGACCAGGTAGAAAAATCGGGAAGTCCGGTCACTCTAGAGAAGCTGTGGTCCAGGAAAGGGGCAGCTGTTCTGAGGTTTTGTGAGCGGAGGCTGCCAAGTCCTGCTGCTGTGACTTCTTCACTCAAGGAAGCACTTGTGTGTGCCTCACTCGCCACCCCGAGCTGGCCGCACTCTCAAGGCCAAACGGAACCTCAGTCCACATCTGGGAAGACCACAGAACAGTAGCAGAGGGCTTGCCCGGATGAAGGCGTAGACCCTGACCCCGGGATTTCACGAACTCACGCATGCTCTTCCTCCCATTCCTGGCACAGCAGAGTTCCCCAAGCCCTCGGAATTCCGTAAGCGCAGAAAAGGTATCTTTTGCTATGTTCATGAGACAACTTTAGAGACACCCCAGGCTACCTAAAGATGGGGGCCGCTTGCCTTGCCGGGGGACCAACCAGGTGACTGGAGGCTTGGAACCCAGCCTCACCCCGACCTCCGACCTCCTTCAGGGATGGGAGAGGGGTGAGGGGCTGAGCCCATTCTCCAGTGGCCAACAACCTAATCAATCGTGCCCCTGTTATGAAGTCTCCTAAGAAACCCCTAAGGACGGGGTCTGGAGAGTGGGGCGGTGGACACGTGGTGTGCCTGGACGGGCAGAGCAGCTCTGCACCCTTCCCCCACCCTGACCACAGGCAGCTCCCGAGTTAGAGCCTCTGATCGTAAGCTAGTCATCTAGTAAGTAAAATGTTTCTCTGAGCTCTGTGAGCTGCTCAAGCAAATCAGTAAGCCCACGGAAAGGGGCATGGGAACCCGATTCACAGCTCACTGGTCAGAAGCGCAGGGGACCACCGAGCCTGTAAGTGGCCTCTGAGGGTGCCAGTCTTGTGGCCTGAGCCCTCCAGCTGCGGGGGCTGATGCGAGCTCCAGGCAGATGGGGTCAGAATGGAGCGAAGTTGTGGAACAGCTGGTCAGTGTCCCCCAAGAAACAGAGACCTGCTCAGTGATGTGCGGAAAACACACCAGACAAATAAAGGGTTTTATGCCAATAAAATTTGACAAAAACTGCGGCCCAAGAGCCAGGCCTGGACCTGCTCCACCATCTGGGCACGGAGGGTGCAGGGGAGACGGAACCCACAGCAGCACGGAGCCATGGCTGGATCCCAAGAGGCTCTGTGACGGCAGCCCCCGGGAGAGGCACAGAGGCCATGCCCCGGGCAGGACTGAGCCGGGGCCTGGGCTGGCGCACGCCCTCTCCTCTCTGCCCGCCAACAGACCAATGTCACTGTCCTGCACAGCCCGCCCACCAAAGCCGCAGGGTGCCCGGCCGCCCATGGGCCGCACCCATGCGTGCCAGCACCCTGTAGCCTCGTGAGCTTCTGATCTCCCAGGGGTGGGAGCATCTGTCCGCCGGTGGCAGGAGGCGGAAGACAGCTGCGGAGAATGTAAGCACGTGAACCTTGGGACGGGGGGAGTCAGGTCACCAGCAAATGTGCTGCGTGTCCATCAGTGTGCGTCTCGTGTTGGCCCACCTGGCCACAACCCTGCCCAGAACGGGACAAAGGGTGATTTCTCCACGACGGCAGCCGTGCGAGAGGAGGAAGGGATGCCGCCCCTCAGGAACCAGCCTTCCCACCATTTCTCGAAGCACACGAGCCTGGGGTCCCCGTGCAGCCCGCTGTGGGCCCAGCCGCCCTGTACTGACACGGGAGGAGCCGACCGGGCGCCGTGGAAAACAGCTCCCCGCGTGCCAGCCCTCTCAGCTCACCCTCACGAAAAGGTGTGGCCATTATCCAGCTTGACCAGACGACTCTGACGTCAGAGAGGCCAGTGACCCCTCTCGCCCCTGCAGCGCACAGCTGTGAGATTCGCACAACCACCCCGCAGCCTCACAGCGGATTCCCCGCCCGCGTCTGCCGCAGCCACTGGCTCTCTGTCCGCCTGGCGATGCGGAGGTTCCTTCTGCGCCGAATACTGGAGACTCCATGGGACTCCGCCCTGAGCCCCTCAGTGTGTGTCCCCAGAGATGTCCGCAGACCAGGCCCTCACAGTGGGCAGCAATTCCCAAACCTGTCTAGTCCGTATTTAAATCTCCATCATTGCCCCAGAAATGAGCTAATGAACTTCCAAGAAGAAACTGCAAACACTAATGAGCCATTTCATACACTCACCTCAGAGTCCTCTTTAATGTCATGCTTCCGGGTTGAAGAAATGTAAGCGACTAGTGAAGAGAAAGAAAAAAACCAGGACATCGCAGGCATCGTCAGGAGCCCGGCCCGGGACGTGGGGGCTCCCCGCTGCCCCTCCCTCCCCCGCGGGCCCCTGTGCACACCCGGCCCAGGGGAGGCCGGGGCAATCCTGGCGCAGTCACACCTACTCGCAGAGGCCGAAGGAAATGCAGCCCCCGGGTCCCACCCAGACCTCCTGACTCTGCACCTCTGGGGGTGGAACTTGGGAACCAGCATTTGTGATGGGTTTTCTCAGCGAATCATCTAGAAGTAACTATCCGCAAGATTTCGGTGCCTAGCCTTCCAGATGTTCTTGAATTGTGCAGGTGGGGGGAAGAGGCAATGGAAGGATGAGGGGACGGTGGTGGGTGGATACGTAAACGGGGGGCGGGCTGGCTGGGTAGGTAGGTGGGTGGGTGTGTGGGTGGTTGTTTATTAGAAATCTCCTTTGTGTGAGGTTGCGCTAGATGCTTTATGTTCTGTGGCCTCATTTCATCCTTCCAGGGCTCTCAGGACACAGAACGCAGATTTATGACATGGGGGCAGGGGCTCTTAGTGCCTAGACTTTGGGAGCTCAGAGCTGGGCTATCAGTCCAACCAGTATTCAAAACCTTTCTCCAAATTAAAAAAAAGTAGCACAACATTAAAAAGAGTCTCTCCCCCACTACAAAACCCCCACAAAACCCCACGGAAACTCAAGAACCAACTTGACAGCAGGCTTTCCCATGGAGACCAGCCTCTGCAGCAGCCCACCCGTGGGAGGGCCTGGCTGTAGTCGCTGCCACAGCAAGTCCTTTCTAGAACTCCCAAAGTTAGTGCCGAGGAGAACGCCCGCCTGGAACCCCATGGCAGCCACTCTCAGAGATGTGTGCATCCAGGGAAGGCCGCCCCACACTGCCACCTCTGCCCAGGGATGAGGGAAGGCCCTAGAGACGCCCCCGCCCCCACAGTGAGGGGCCCGTGCTTGCCAATATTGACCCTCGGAGAGCAGGTGGGAGCTAGAAAGGATTCGGGGTCAGAAGGGGAGGCACACAGGAATTCCAGGGTAGAGAGCCTGGGCTCCACCATTAGGAAGAAAGCAGCCCCTACTTCCATCGGTGTCCTCAGAAGGAAGGTCCGCGTCGTCCTTGTCATCCACTGCAGGTTCTTGGGAAGGCATGACAGAATCCTGCAAGGGGGTGGGCATTACAGAGTGACCAGGTAGGTGTTACGAGGTAGCTCTGGAGACACTGTGTCACTTTCTATCACCACCTCCCCGATAGACACTTTGTAGTCCACGTCCTAACACCAATTCCACCGATGCACCTGCTGTCCTCACCACACTGGAGACAGGAAGACCCACACGGAGCTCTCCTGTGATCCTACAGCGGGCGGCTACCCAGCACCTCCGGCTGTGATCTTTCCAGCAAGTGCTTTACAGAATGGGGCATCTGCACACCACGCTCAGAAGTCCGCCCCGCCCCCACTGCTGCATCACAGAGTCCCGGGGGCTGATGTCACAGCTGAGGCAGCCCCCATTGGCCGACTCTAAGCTCTGGGCATTGGCAGTCCTCAGCCCCTGGTGGCTTACATCCTTGGGGCTGGCCTTATTTCTTAGGCTAAAGCGGACCTGTGGGGTCAAAGGGTATGTGCACCTTCTTGGTTTTCGGCAGCCACGTCTGAAAGGACATTGGGAAGATAGTGTGCATTCCCCCCACACCGGTCTGTGGAGGGACCCCACTGCCCGGTGCACAGCACTATCGGGGTTAGACATCAGAAATGAACAGCACGTCAAAGGGCCAGAGTGCTTCACGTGCACGCTCACAGGCTGGTGGTGAGAGACACATGGGGGGTGCGTCCTCTGACTTTCAGGGCGCCCTGGGGCTTTCCTTCCGCTCCAAGCCTGGGGTACAGACGAGCCTCCCCTGTACCTTCACCCCAGCGCAGCAGAGGGCCCTGGAGGCCCCACGAGAGGCCCCCCACCCCAAGAGTGCAGGGGGCTCCCAGGGCTTGGGAAGGGGGCCCCACCCCATCTGAGGTGCCGGCCCGGGTCATGGCTCTGCCACCCACGGGCAACCCCTCCTTTCGTCTCCATGGTGGCAGGCTCTCTTCCGGACAGAGGGAGCCTGAGGGTCACTGAGGCCGCACCCCTCAGGGCCCTGGGCTCGGGGCAGCCACACTCACCATGCGCCTCTTGCAGGTCAGCGGGACGAGCACGTGACAGCGCTTATGCACCAGGAGCTGGCAGTGGACGCAGCGGTAGCCCTGCCTCGCGAGACCCCATATCCTCTCACTGCACTGGCCACAGTATGCTCTCTGCGGGCAGGAACAGCGGCTGTCAGGGCCGGGGTGGCCCCGGAAGCCAGAGACCCAGCTCAGCACCGGGCCACGTGGCACTGTCCCTGACCGGGAGCCGGGACAAGATGCAGCCCAGTCAGCTGACCACCTGGACACGGCTCTGCCTGACCTCGGGAGCCCCCACTGTGGTCCACCCCAAGGCTGGGGGAGCTGAGGGCCCCAAGGAGGGGGCGGGGACCCCGCTCTGGCAGGGCTGATGAGACGCCTCCTTTGAGCAAGGACGCACTCCTGCTTGTGGGGCAGGAGCGGGATCGCAGCTCCGGCCAGGCTGTGTGGGGGATGTCCAGATTCGCCTCGGGTGACCATGGCAACAGCATTCTGACGTGTCGTTACTTTGAACAGCTAGGGGCAGTCTGTGATTATCTTGGGGTGTTTTTTGGGTATTTTTAGAGATTTTTAAGCGATTCGTCTTTGTTCTTCCAGGTTCTGAACGTCGGAAGCTAATGGCGACTAGGGCTTGTTCGGTGATGTTTTCCCAAATTTTGACTGTTACAAAGTGCAGGAGGATGAATATGTTCAGAAATCTGGCCACACGTGGCAGGTGGTGGTGCGAGTGGTGCTGGGCCCCCGTGACCGTCTCTTTTCCAGCTGTAACTCAAATGCAGGTTTAACAAATTTCATTCTTTTGAGAGAGCCTCTCCTTACTCCTGGGGAGCAATGAAAACAACCACAGTTGTACTGAGCAGAGTTCATTTACGACGGCTGATGGAATCCTCTTGGCACATGGGAGTGGGATGCGGTGGCGTGGATGGACCACATGCCCGGAGCTCACGGCTACGGGCACTGAGACGCCGCCTCCACGTCCGCGAAGTGCGAGCAGGGAAACCAGGGCCTGAGGGGGCCGGTCCCCACACACAGAGCTTCAGCGACCAGTGCCTGGGGCAGTGCCCAGCACACAGTGGTGCCCAATGCAAGTCCGCTAAGGTCAAGTAAACACACACCCTCCCCCGTTACTTTCCACTTTGGAAAGAGGACAGAAAAGCACTTATTCCAAGGCTTGCGTGTTGCATGAAGCACCCGTCCCGTGAGCTGCCAAACAGACCCCGGGGCCGTCGGGGAGCGGGCTGAAGGGCAGCGGACGGCGGCAAGGGCTGGACGGTGGGGCCGGCTGCGGGAGCACCGCCAACGCCTGCAGCTCTGGCCACCCTCCTTTCGTCCCAGCGCGGCCCACGTCGGGCAACCGCCGAACGCCTAAGCTCGGAGAAGAGCTTCCTGTTCTCTCCCGCGTGTCCAGCTGTGTCAAAGCCCTCGTCAAGCCCTTAGGAAAGATCCGCCTTTCTGGTGGAACACACCGATGCGTCCAGCTTCCCATGGTCGCCGCCGCGTGACCAGCCTGCGACGCTGCTCCCGTGGGCCCCTGGGTGACCTCACAGCGTCACGGCCTCCTTCCCCAGCTAAGCGGGGCCAGGCAGCAGGCCGCGGCCTGCTCTCCCCGGGTTCCGCACCAGGGGCGCAGAAGAGACGTGGGACCTGCGCGCCCATGAGGCTGCCACAGGCTCTTATCTCAGACCTGTGTTTGAACCGTTAACACTTCAGGAAGCGCGGTGCTAAAAAAACAGAATAAAATCTAAATCCAAAGCTTCCATACTCTGAAATTCACCTCATGAATAAATCCAGGGTTTTTAAGTGTCTTTAAGCCTCACGTGCTGCCAACGTGGTTCTTGGCTCGTGTTCTCCGTCGCGCGTCCTCCTTTCCGGTCACACTGAGCTCTCTTCCGTGTGAGCCTGTGGTCAGGGTTCCCACGGGCTCCTGCTGGATGCCCTGTTCCCACTGTGCTCTGCGCTTCTTGCCAGGTGAGCACTCCTGTCCTACCGATTCACCTGTGTGGTCCCTGCAGCCCCGCCGGCCCCCGAGGGGCCCTCCTAGGCTGGCCCGTTAGGCTGCAGGTCTGGGATTCCAGGACAGGCTCTGACCTCGCCCTCATGCCCCACCCTATCCATGACACTGGTGTCGCCTCCTTTCCTAGGGTGGAGGTCTTGATTTCTTCTTCAGAAACTCACTGGATCTCTCCCTTAGATTCACCAGTGGAACTTTTTCTCACTGTTCCAGAAGAAAAGTCGTGTCAAGGCCAGATAAAGATCTAGGCGGGGAAACTCACTTTCTGCCCTTGGGTCACTGAGGAAGAACATGAGAAGTGATCTCTTGTGGGCTGTCCCCCCTTAAGTCTCGCCCCGTCCTGCAGAACCAAGTGCGCAGCTCTTAAAACATCCTTTCAAGTGACCGGTGGAGGGGAAATGCACAACCCTGTGAGTAACGTGGGGAACGGGGCAGACCCGGCCTCCAGTGTCCGGCCAAGACAGGGGACTCAGAACCAAGGGCAATCGGGGGGAATCATCGCAGTCGCCCCTCGTCCTGCGAACAACTAAACAGTCTACGAGTCGAGGGTCTTTGGACTGGCTCCCTTCTCAGCCTCCCCATGTCTGTAAAAACCCACTTGGGCTGCTCCGAGGACAGCTGACCGTAACAGGGTGGGAGTGGGGGAGTAGGGGCACTCCTGTCAGTCCCCGCTCCTCCATGGGGAGGAAAGCCTATTCTCACGGATTTGGGGGAGGGGGCAGGAAGGGAAGGGCAGGCGGGAAGGAGTGTGAGGGTCTGCATCCTGCAACCAGAGAAATGTTTTTCTCCTAAAATCTGTGGAGTGGGGGAAGCCCGGCCCCTCTGGGCTGCCCGGGCCCCGCCTGTCTTGCTGGGCGGGTGGCTTTGTCTTGGACCAGTGCGTCAGTCGTAATGAAGGAAACAGCGTTTCACTGAAAGTCAACATGCGGGGCGTGGGGGGGACACAGACCTCCAAGAACCTTCTGTCTGACATCCCGAAGGATGGCCAGTCCCATCTGGCTGAGACCCCTCTCTGTCCAGAACGACCCCAGCGCCCAGATGGGCAGAAAGAGAAGCCACCTGGCCACAGAGCTGGCTGGTAAAATGCAGGTGAGGGCAGCAGGTGCCTCGCACCCTGGGGGTCGGGATGTTTCCGTCTCTACACACTGTCAGCAGCAGGGCTTGTCCTTCTGGTCGGCTCGCCACGGCATCTCCCATCCACACCCTGGTGGTCCTCCCAGAGATGGGAAGTACCCATGCTCCCCACTCTGTCCCCACCCCCAGCAGCACCTGGCACTCAGGGTCCTCTCATACGTTCTTGCTTGGTGGCGTCTGACCTCCCCAAGGCGTCTGATACTCCCTGGACCCCGTGTTCTCCTGCCACCCACCTGGGTTCCTTCTCATTCCTCACAGACACGCCCCATGCTTGCTTGGTCCCTAACACTGTGCCCCTAGATCTCCCCTAGCCGACTCTCCTCTAGGCAGTAGTTACAACAGACAACAAATCTGTGTTCAGAGTCTCTGCGCCCAGAGCACTGCGTCTGGTGGGGAGACAGCAGGCACAGAGCTGTGAGGAACACCCGGTGCACATGGGAACGGGGGCCCCAGGGAAAGGGCTGCAGGGATGACTGACTGACCCAGATGGAGTCAGGTGCGGTATGAGCTCTGAGCACGCGGAGGATGGGGGAGGGTGGGCGGGGCAGAGTCTCAGCACGTGCAAAGGCCCTCAGGGGCACATGTGCTTGGCTACAGGAGTAGGCTGAATGGTGTCCCTCGAATTCGTGTCCCCTTGGGACCCCCAAATGTGACCTCATTTGGAAAAAGAATTTTCGTAGATGTACCGTTAAAATGAAGTCCCAGTGGACTGGCAGGCCCTAAGCGTGCCTGTTGTCCTTGGAGAGGGCAGAGGCCACGGGAGGACAGAGCAGATGTGGGGCTGCAGCAGCAGGAAGGACCCTTTCTAGGGCCACTGAAGGAGCACAGCCCTGTGTACACCTTGGTTTTGGACCTCTGGCTCCAGAATGGGGAGAGAAGGAACTTCTGTCCCAGGTCTGCGGGGCTTTGCTCTGGCCGCCCTGGGACACGAAAGTCCTTGGCCAGTGAGGCACCTGCAGGCACCTCCCCTTCCACTGTGAAGTGGGACGATCCCAAAGCCACCTGAATTGCGTCACTTCTAGAGAACAGAAGCGCATCCTGAAGAGAAAGGATGGAAAGCACGGGCCGGGAGCCATGTGTGTGGCAGACGTGGGGTGGTCGGGGTCCCAGGGCTCACAGGAGATGCACAACGTGCACGCCAGCATCATCGGTCAAATCTGCAGACCCACGTTCGACCACAAGCAAGCTAGGACCTTGAAGCTCCCGTGCCCCACGCAGGGGCGGCCCGACCCGGGCCGGCAGAGCAACACGGAGACACACCCCCACACTCGCCAGGCAGCTACCACGTGCAGAAAAGGCCCGGTGCTTCTGGAACGGGCTTGCGCGGCACTCTCAGCAGCAAGTGTCCCCACCTTTCTCTTCGCTGGTGAGGGCAGTGCAGGCCGGGCGGTGACAGCCCGGGAGCTGGGGGCCGAGGGGTGGCACTCACCCTGTTAAAGCGCTTGGCCTGGAAGAGATGGCCGTTGGCGCGGTACAGCTTCCTCCATCTTCTGGCTCCGCGGCGGTAGATGGATTCTAGGGGGACAAGAGAGAGGAGTAAGGAAACAGTCCAGCAGCCTGCCAGCCCCACCCCACCCGAGGTGCCCGTGGGGATGGCCGCCCTGGAGCAGGGACAGCAGCTGGGCAGCCCCCGTGAGGGTCCGGCTGGGACGTCATCGGAGGCCAGTGCACTTCCAAGCCTGCCTCCCTGTTTTCCTTTCCACCCTCCTTCCCTCTGGGCCTGGAAACCAGGCCCCCTTTCCACACGGGGTGCGGTGCACACGGGCTGCGAGCCTGTGCCTCACCATCCACAGAGGGCTGCAGCTGCCACGCGGAGTCCACGGTCAGCCTGACGTGCAGCCAGGCGTCCTGTCCACCCGCACACGAGAGACCCTCGCCCGAGAGCTCTCGGGGCAGAGGTGAGGCAGACACACCAAGCCCTTACGCTGAGTCCAAGGTTACCAAGCGTGTCGCTTTCAAAAACGGCGTTCCAGAATCCAAACTCGTAAGAAGGACGCCGCTAACCAAAAAAGCCGGAATTACGCATTTAACTAGAACCGTCGGTTTCGTTCTTCCCCAAACATGCTCGTAACTTTGCTCCTTCCAAATGCTCTGAAGCAAACACCAGTACAAACAAAATACTCAGGACACAACGAGCAGCTTTGTGCTTTTACAAAGTCCCACACTGAAAGCCACTTTCACGAGTTGTGGAAGTGCCACGAATGCACACCAATGTGGAGACCAACGAAATGTTTTTAAAACAAGCAAATCACCAGCTCTGGCTGGACCCTGCTGAAATCAGGTCACAGCCACCGGAGAGCCCGCTTCCCTCCCTTTAAATGGGAGACTGAGTGAGAAACAAGATGTCTGGATTCCTCTGTGGCAGAAGCCCCCAGCGGTGGGCAGCTGGGGGGCTGGCAGAGGCCCACACATCGCCCAGGACTCCTCAGAGGTTTCCAGCCACAGACTCTCAGGCAGCACCGAGACGTGAGCAGGGAAACGTGGGAGGAGGTGGCACCAGCCTTTACCTCCTGCTCTGCCACCTGCAAGTTCACACCTGGGCGCCACGGGACACCAGGACCACCCTCAGTCCGTTTGGCCCTCAGCTCTAAGGAGTCCCTGGTGATGCCCAGGGCCTTTGTCCAGATGATCGGTGTGTCCTGCCATATCCAGCCCTTCCAGCCTACCTGGCTTGATCTGGGGGAAGGCTGGTGGGGGGGGGCAGGTCCATGCTGATGTCCACAGGACTGACCGTCCCCACACCCCCAGGCATGCCCCTGACCCTCCCTGCATGTGGCATTCACAACCCCCAGCCGTCCTGCAGAGAGAAGTCACTGAGTGACAGACACAGACGGAGGGACAGAGAGACACAGGGGGAGATAAGCTGGCCCGCTGGGGACACCCTGGTGCCAACACGCTGGTTTTCTTGTACCCAGCGCACACACCACACGGAAACCTACATATCCACCCGACCAGACAGCCTTCCAACCCGTTAGAGCCGCCCGAAGTAAGAAGCACAAAGATGCCCTAGCAGAGGCCAAGGGTACGAGGGGGAGCACCGAGGGGACAAGACCCAGGGCTGCACGCGGCCCCGCAGGCCCAGAGCACTGGAGGGGGACTCACTGTCTGAGGAGGTGAAGGTGTTCTAGGAAGTGTTAGACCAGTGCCAGGTTCGGGATGGTGTGGCCTCTGGGGGCGCCCCGGGCAGGCGGCACTGGTGAGGCTCTATCCCACTGGCTGCGGGGCCACACGTATCCGCTACCCCGTGCTCTGTAGGTTCGCGAGTGACACGCCTCGCAGGTGCCCCACAGCCGCGCTAAACGGAAACAGGTAAAACTGTAAAAGCCGTGGGAGGGGCCGCAGGCAGCAACAGTGTGGCTACAAGTGATTTTGGATGTCTCCCTCTGACACATCTTCTTTAAGGACTCATTTGAACCTTTGGTGGGGGGTTGAAGCAGGGGGGACACCCCCGGGAGCAGGTGCTGAATTCAATTTTAAATAAAGTGTATCAAATTTAAAAATGAAACAAAGCTCTAAGTAGCCAAAGAAAGGCCCTGTCCCCTGCTGCGGGTCCTGCCCATGGGCGGCCCACGGGGTCACTGCTGGTTGCCAGGAGGTCCACGAAAACACTCCCGGGGCTGGGTCCTGCCCACCCATCTGCCTGCCCTGTCACCAGGCAGAAGTGTGACCTCCCTGCTGTCGGTGGAGTGTGGCTTCGAGGAAACGTGTGTGAGTGCCGCGGTCGATGAGGGGGTTCACTCTGTGTCAGCAGGGTTGGGCCGCGGAGCCCAGACAGGCAGCCAAGGGCTGTTCTGGATGTTTCCGGGAGGGTGTTTCTTTTGCTTTGTTTTTTAAGTAGTCTCCACACCCGCGCAGAGCTCATTGCAAAGCCTGAACTCACAACCCCGAGATCAAGACCTCAGCTGAGATCAAGAGTCAGATACTCAAGCAGCAGAGCCACTCAGGAGCCCCAGGGGCGTCTCCGGAGGGGCCTGACATTTAAACCAGCGGACCTGGAGTGAGGCAGACTGGCCTCCGTGACATAGGTGGGCCTCATCCAATCAGCTGAAGGCCTGACTAGAGCGAATGACGGGCATCCCCGAGTAGGAGGGAACTCTGCCCGCGGCGGCCAGACTTTCAACTTGAACTGAAGCTCGGGCTCTTCTTGGGTCTGCAGACTGCCCACCCGTCCTCAGATTTTGGATCTGCCCATCTCCCTAACTGCATGGGCCGGCTCCTTACCACAGAGCTCTTTCCTCTATACACACAGCCTACTGCTTCTTTCTCTGGACACCCCCGACTGACACGAGGTCTCTAAGACGGTGTTTACCTTTATCCCCACCCTACGCAGAGACAGGATGGCGTAGGGCAAGGCACCACGGCAAGGCACCACGGCCTTGGCATGGCCTCGGGCAAGGGCAGGGAGCGCCGCCCCCTCCTGGGGTGTCCGATCCATGCCAGGCCACTGCCTGGAAAGCAGCCGTCATGAGTCACAAAGAACCACAAGGGGCAGCGGGACAACCTTCACTTATAAAACATCTATGTGTAATACACACACGCAATTTATTTCAGATTTACAGAAAGTTCAAAGACACTATAGAGAGATCCCACGTCTCTTGCCCACAGCTTCCCTCCTGTGACACCTGACTTCCGCTGATGTATTGTCAAGACGGAGATGAACACCACGGCTATTCCCTAAACTCCAGCCGGAGCCGGCAGCCCCCATACACTTCACGGCTCGGGACACTTCCAGACTTTGGGAACACTGCGGCGAGGGCACGGAAGCCCACAGCGTGCATGGCCCGCGTCCTCCCATGGGCGTGCGGCACATTTGTTACGACTCGTGGAGCAATACTGACGTGTGGCCATGACTGGGCACATACTCTACTCGGACTTCCTTAGCATCTCCCTGCCGCCCTCGCTCAGACCCAGATGCCACCCAGAACCCCACACAGCCCTTTGCCCCGTTTGCCCAGGCCCCTTTTGGTGGTGGCCGTTTCCCCACGTCCCTGGCTGAATGACCCTGCTGACACTGAGGAGAGCGGGTCAGACGCTGGGTCGAGTGCCCCCCTCCTGGGGTCTGCCTGCTGTTTCTCTCAAGACTGGACTGGGATTACCACCTCCCTAAATTTTTTTTAAGATTTTATTTATTTATTTGAGAGTGAGAGAGCACAAGAAGGGGGAGCAGCAGGCACAGGGAGAGGAAGAAGCAGGCTCCCTGCTGAGGGGCTCCTTCCCAGGACCCCAAGATCACGACCTGAGCCGAAGGCAGAAGCTTCACCGACTGAGCCCCCCAGGCACCCCTCACCTCCTTAACTTCTGAATTAACTGAGCACCTTTCCTGAAAAACCCACATTCCCATCATGGCAGCCACCAACCCTCCCAAACTTTCGAACGTCGGACTGTTTACTAGAAGGTTCCCTAAGTGCAGGGCTGGATGCAGCGGGATGGGGCCCACTCGGCCTTCCTGAGCTCAGCGGGGGCCCGCCATCCTTTGCCCTGGCAGGCCAGGGCCATCCGCCTTATGGGCCACCAGCTCCAACAACTGTCACGTTCGCAGATTCTGGGTTTCTGCCTGGAAAGTCACAGCCCCTATTCCTGATTTGAAGTGACAACCGCCGTGTAAATGGGGGGAAAAAGAACACGTCCTCAGAGAGCACGCGTGTGCAGCAGGGGCGGGTGCTCAGGGAACGGCACTGGCTCTGCGCCCCCACTGTGCCCCCCTGCGCCCCCAGTGTGCCCCCCTGCGCACCCCACTGCACACCCCTGCGCCCCACTGCGCCCCCCTGTGCCCCCAGTGCGCCCCCCTGCGCACCCCACTGCACACCCCTGCGACCCACTGCGCACCCCTGCGCCCCCAGTGCGCCCCCACTGCGCCCCCTGCGCCCCCCTGTGCCCCACTGCGCACCCCTTCTTGCCCTCTGAGTTCAGCACCCGCAGGAAAGGGGCCTCCCACACAGGTCGGGTGGGCAGGAAAGGCCTCCATGGGGGGGTCAGGGCCCTGCCTGCGGCACAAGGCAGCTGCCCAGAGTCCCATCGGGTCTGAGGTTCAGCCTCGGCTGTGCGGTCAAGGCCACGCTCTGAGGTCCGTGTGCCGCCAGGGGCCTTCCTGGGCACCTGCGCTCTGGCCTGGGCACCACGGCGAAGGCCGGGCAGCTCGCAGCAGCGCCTGGGGCGCGTGGGCTGCTCTCCCCCTCCCCCCGGCATCAACTCCAACCCTTGGAAGAAGCTCTTCGCTTGTCTTTGAAATTCTATAATTAGGAGGCCGCAGGGAATTTTAACGAGCTCAGTTTCTATGGCAATGCCGCGTCTTGAGGCTCTGACAAGAAGAGCCCGTGGAGCGACTGGGTGAAGAAACCCCACGGCCCGCAGACATGGGGACGAGCGTGGGCTGTGCCCGAGTTCCGGGGCAGGGCAGCGTGGCAGGCAAAGCCTCTCGCTGTTCACGGGCCATGGGCCACGGGCCACAGGCCACAGGCCAGGGTAAGCAGCACAGCCCTGCGCCACGCCGCGAGGACGGCCGCAGAGCCCCGCCC